ATTTAATTAAAAGTAGTCCAGGCTAAAAATGCAACAACTCCATGTTAGAACAGTGGTGTAGGTAGAAGATGAATTATGTAAACGTTACTTAAATATTACTCAAAATAAAGTAAAGAAAAACTAGTTAACTAATCATGACAATTAAGCACCTTTATATGGGTTTTGTAAGTAGATGCAAAGGTATTTTGAGTAAAATTTACTATCAAAGACTTAGTGCATTTTGCATTTAAAAGAAATTTGCCAATAATGTTTACTTGATTGTTTAAAAAAATAAAAAAATCTTGCTGGCACGTAAACTTTACTTGACATTTTTCTGAGTAAAAATTACTCAGAATATCTGTGTGGAAATTGTTACCTAGCTGTTTTCAAGTAAATGGCACTCCAAATTTCTCAGTGTACAGCTTAGTTTGCATAGTGGACTCTTTTTGGAGGATTTCCTCAGTTGAGTTCTTTCCAGTTTCTTATTTTATTTAGTTATTTCCAGGGCTGTGGTCATTGTCAGTTAGTGAGGTTCCTAAGTCAGTGCGAACCTCAGTCAGTGTTCTCTCTGTAGGGTCTTGAGTCAGTGTACAGTGTGTCTTATTTGCTCATCCCATCTTCTCTCAACCATACCTTTACCTTTAAAAAAAAAAACAAAAAACATTCTCAAGCCACTAAAAGTCTCTCTACCTTCTTAACTACTTTCTCTGCATTCCCTCTTTGCACCCTTTCTGCATCTTTGTGTTGCTCTTATCTTTCCTCACACTCTGCTGCTGCCTGGTGCAGAAACAAGCTGAAATCTGTCTGTGTTGGTGGAGTGGCAAGCATTTTTCTCCTACATTTCTCTTCACCTAATTTACAAATCTCTCTAACCCTTTCTTATTCTCATCTTTTGAAACTTTCTTTAACCACATTATCATTGTTTTCAACCAGTACCGACCACAAAAAGCCAGATTTACACTCTGTACATCGATCTACAACTTTCTGAGACATTTCAATGATTATTACACGTATTATTCAGAGAGGGTGAATGGCACAGTGCCTGAGTGAAGGACCCAATCAAGAAGCTTCTACATGGAGTCTATTACTCTGTGCACTTGATCGTTGAGGGTTTTCCCAGCCTATTCACTCGTTTTAATTCACCACCTCATATAACACCCGAACTAAAATATCCCCTTTTATGCTATTCCAATCCCCATGCACACAACTACTTGAGATCTGTGTTAGTGCCAGAATTCTCGAGCAGTCTGTACTGTCCGATACACTGACACATGCACAGTAAAAATATCAATCAAGTAGGAAACCACCCCACATTCCATATCCTTGTGTTCCCTGTGTCCTCATTAAGATTTTTTATCTTCACAATTATGCCACCATTCTATTTATTTATTAGTTTAAATATTATTTATTTTCTCTCGTTTTCTTATTTATATATTTATTTATTTACTTACTTACGTATTTATTCATTTATTTATTTATTTATTTATTTATTATACTCATCCGCTCAACGGGAGTCTTCGGACATACTTATTTATAACTCCCCTATTAGACAGCATATGTGCTGTCTAATAGGGGAGTCAGTCAGGCATTAACCAATTTTACTGCTATGGCCCGTCCACACTAATAACTGTAGAGATTACTATAAGATGTGTTTACACTTATTTAATACTACATGTATTATACTTTAACAGTAGCACATTTGTCAGTATTTTAGTCCGTTTATTTTAGTTTATTAATACAAAAACACAACCCTAGAAGAACTACACATTTCATGGAGTGTCCAATCACATTGTGTTGTAAAGCTACTAGAAGTTGCAGTTCTTTCTTCAAAATAGCCATTTCTCCTAAATGGAGGGTGAAATATAAAACTTTAAGTGCATTTAGGGGTTTAAATTGATTTATTATTTGCACTGAATTTCCAAATGAAATTGATATAGGTGAAATTAAATTTTTACCATTTAATCTTATTTTAATAAGAAAAAGCAATGAGTAAGTGCAACAGAAATTAGGCCTTGTTTGTACATATGTGTATGGCTCTTAGAGAGGGCTTATAACATAACAGTGTATTTATGGTAAATGAGAGGCTATGGAGTAACTACTGTATATCTTCATCCATTTTTATCCTTAATTTTCTCTTCAGCTTCTCTTTTAACCCCCTTGTGTGATGTCATCCTTTTAAACAGTTTTTAACTTCCCATCCTTTCTATACATTTTCATTTTTTATGGTGTGTATTTACATGTGTCTTCATGAACTTTTGATTGTTTTTGCCTGTGTTTGCCCTGTCTTGCCTGATATTTTACTTGTATTTTATGAAACCACTGTGTGAAATGTTCTTTAAGGTGCTACAAATAAGGTTATTATTATTATTATTATTATTATTATTATTATTACATACTGTATAGCCATATAGCTATATGACTGTTGTTAAAACACATGAATGAGGGTAACCCTGAAATTGTTTTCCTGAGCAGATAAAGCAGCCGGTAAGGATGTCCTCAATGTTAGGGTTAGGATAGTATGAAACAGGATTTAACCAGGAAAAACATCTTTAACAAGGCCAAAAATGACACCCATGGGTTCCAGTAAATCAAAACAAAGCTGTCATTGAGGAATTTACCCACTATGTTTCACAAAATTATCACAAAATGTGGTAAAAAATTTAATTTCACCAATATATGTCAACTTCATTTGTAAAGTCATTCCAAAAAAAAGTGTTCCTCATCAATTTAAACCCCTAAATGCTTTTAACGTTTTATTTTTCACCCTCCATTTTGGAGAAACAGCTATTTTAAAGAAAGAACTACAACTTCCAGTCGCGGTACAATACGTGATTGGACACACCATGAAATACGTAGCTCTTCTTTGGGTTTACAACTAGGGTTGTGTTTTTGTATTAACAAACTAAAATAAATTAATTGAAGTACTGACAAATGTGTTACCGTTACAGTATAATAGGTGTAGTATTAAATAAGTGTAAAAGAGTTGTTATAACTAGCTATGTTTTAAACCATCACGTATTCTGAATCTGTATTTCTCCATTGAACCTATGATCCTGTTTTGCTTTTTTCTACTGAGTACAATGCATGTCCTTGAAGACAAGATGGCCGGTGAGAACTGGTTCACATACTGTGAGACAGCGGAAACTCCCCTATTCTATCAGTTACTTTAGATACATGCCTTTTGGACAACAGACACACACTTTGTATTCGATCCAAGCAGTTTCTGTTTACATTTGGGGCAGGCCCAGCCAAAGAAGATAAATGTGAATTTTTCCGGATATCGGGGCTCCTTCTGATAGACCTCTTGTTATGCCTCTGTCCAGCGCTACCTTACTCTACCTGTGACCTAAATAAATTCTACATAGTGAACTGAAGATTTCTCCGGTTTGTTCTTGGGCATCCAACTAAAGAATTGCGTTAAAGCTTCACAAAGCTACAGACACATTCCCCACCACTGGCCTATCAATAACAATTGTCAGATCATCCATTGCTGCGACGTTTTCCTGCATGTGTCCGTCAGAGTTGTATACGTTCACAGAGAAATGAAAGCAACGAGGAGCATGTAGCCCAAACAAAGTAAAAGCACTTATATTTTATCACAAATGAACAATAATAGCTATTGAACAATATCATTGGGATCCCTTTCAGAGCAATCTCAGAACAGCTTCTCTCTGCCTGGATATTTTTTGCCTTTTCTATTTGAATGAATACGGAGCTTATAAGCAGCGCCAGTGTTTACAGAATGTTAACGTTCATCAGTGTGGGCACACACATCTTTATAGTGATCTCTATAGTTATTAGTGTGGACAGGCCATAACAGTAAAATTGGTTAATGCCTGACTGTTGGAAGAAAAGAACGACAAAAACATTACAACGTATGCGTTGTCTAATAGGGGAGAAAAACTTGGCCCAGACACGAAAGATAGCTCCAATTGAAAATGTATTGGTTTGAAATTCGTGCAGGGAAACACGAAAAAGTTGGGCAAATCGTGTCCCTGGACACTAGTCAATAGATTAAGTTTCGTGACTATATCACAAATTGCAGTGTGACTGGGTTGTGCGGAGGCTGTTGGTGTCTGTCTTCCGGACAACTTCCAAATCAGCAGTCTTCCCTTTGATAGCAGTTGCATGTACTGAACAAAACCATACACTGTATTTATACTGTTTGAATAGTAATTTCCTTAAAATGAAATGTTCTAATATTTTGAGATACTGTATTTTTGCAATAGCTGGAAGCCATGATCTTCAAAATTCAAACTTTTTTTTTGCAACAGTACTGTTATTGGCTTCTGTTGTTGTTGTTTTTTGTTTGGCTTCTGTTTAATTTTTTGTGAGTCCCCTTTTAGAGGTCCTTAGTAACTCAAGAGTAACAACAGGATGAGGGGCAAGGCAGGGGTTGAAGGCTGTTCAATATGCTGTTAAGGTAGAGCTGAAGCAGATGCTAAACATGCTAAACATTGTTTACCAAATTTATTGGGAGCATACCTGTTGCATTGAAGTGATGCACTGCACTTTCTCCTCCCTCTTAATATCTGCCATTTTTCATTTCAGTACAGAATATTTGGTAGTTTTCTTAGCGTACTACAGAGGCAGTCCAAACCACTTGGAGTATCAAAACACACTTTATTTGGTAAAATTTGAATGCATAAGTTATATTTCATGGTAAAATACATCAATTAATACTGCAAACATTTACAGTAGAATGTATAAAGGCTGCAATTACAATAAAACATTAACATCTGCTTACAAAAGCATTTCAGATGAGCAATACTGGCAAATATGACAAAATATTAAATTAATGTTTATACTCCCTTTTAAAATGGAAAGAAGGACAACTATGCAAGAAGTTTGTGTGATACATTCATGATGTTACCCCCATCCCCTTTATCATGACAAAATATATTTTGTTCCTTGTAAAATTCTTTGAAACAAGGACAAATACAAACAGAAGGCTATCATTAAAGAAGATTATTCATTCATGAAATACAAAAAAACAGCAAGTCACTTCAAAAGAGATACAGCAATGGAGGGGTGTGTTCAGGCAGCTGTGTTGACAAATGAAAAACACCTTTGCCAGAAAGTATGTCCACTACGCACATCAATGTGTTTGTGAACAGTTTTTCCTTTGCAAACACTTTCCATCACAGCTAGATAAGTCCAGCCTGAAATACAACTGAAATAAAACCTTAAAGCTTAAAAATCAATAAACAGCTGTACTTGGCTTTTATTTAATGTGTTTATGTATTTGTTCATAAATGCAATCACGCAAATTTAAAAAAAAAAAAAAGAAAAAAGAAAAAAGAAAAAAATACTTGCTTTCCTGCAGTGATAGCACCCCTTTTACTGCTGTTCTCCAGCAAACGTAAATTGTTGGCCACTGACAATGTCTTTACTGCTATTGATTAGTGCCGTGTTTGTCAGTACCAGGGCCAGGTATCTCTTTTGCTTTGCATCTTTATTTTGATTATTTATGTTTAGCAATTTGCATGAAGCCAGCCATTGAAAGTAGGTGAAAAAAAGTTGAAGCACTGTGAAGACCTAAAACACAATATTACACCAGGCTTTAATCCAAATACACTGCTCGTGGTAGATAATTTTATTTTGCAATGAAACATTAAAGACTTTTAATATTTCATCAAAAAAAGGTAAAATACAATCAATCCTTGCAGCTATTTAATAAAGTGAAATAAAAGGAAGCCTAAGTTCTATATGTTTGGCAAGCATTTCACAGTTTCATACTAAAAGGGTGAAAGTGTACAACTGAAGAGAATGAAGCTGAAGGTGCAATTTAGATGTCATGACATAGTACCAGCTCTAGTGGGCTCCAGCATTTGATACGGTTATGTCAAGTCAACTCCAACAGAGTAATTGGACTGGTCATTTGCAGCCACCAAATCTGGAGGCATACAGCTAATTGCAGCTTGATATTCTCCCTTATATAAAAACAGCAGTGCATGTACAGGAGTTGCTGGTGACTTAGCAGGTGTTAAAATAACCTCAACAAATAGACAAAGCCAGGGGTATCTAGAGTGATTTTCCTGGTTTTCTTTGTAAGAACTGGACTGGCCTGCACAGAGCCATGACCGTGACCCCATCCAACAACTTTGGGATGAACACAAATACAGACTACAATCTGGTACTACTACTGGATGGCCTGAAACCAGAAGAGTGGAGGTTCTTCTATCGTTTTGGAACGGCATCTCCCATATATGGCTGGAACATAAGGCTGTTGGCATTATTTTACCTATGTAGTTATTGTTCTTACTGTATTTTAACAAAATTAAAGATTTTGGTTTCTCCACAATGAAATAAGGTGTCAAAACACTTAGGTATCACATTGGCACTGGTCTCTTACTGGACCCTGACAGTAAGTCGTTTGAGTAGTTCAGACAAGAGCTACTGACCCCAAAGATCAAGAAATGGTAAAATAGGGAAATGGACACAGAAGGCAAGAGGCAAGGCAAAAACTAAATATAGATTTGCTCCATGATATCAGTTTGATATACCTGTATCTTATTCCTGATATGTTTGATAGCATGTTCAAAACTGATCAATTCTACACTTCCATTGGAGAGCTCCTTAAACAGAATCGATATGTGGCATTCAGTAGGCCTGCACTTTATTAGGAATATTATTGTGTCTTTTAAATAGAGTACTCACGGTATAAATTCTGTTACATATTTATTATTTGCAGAAATTGCAGAAATTACCAGATACCAGCTTCCATTAAGAAAGTATAAGTGCAGAACTAGAACCTGGGGTCTCTGCTCAGTCTGTTGTGCTTCTCCAGCAGCTCTTCAAAAAGATTTTGGATTTTCTTTATTTGTCCAGCAAAAGCAGCTTCTGACTACAAAAAGGGTCTATAAAGAAGGAGGAGGTGGGAGTTGCATGACTCCGCAGACTGTCACAGCTGCAGGGGCTGATAGGACGTTTACGCCATGGTGTACCCGTAGCTACCACAATGCAGCGCTACCAGCAACCGATCTTTCAAGACCTCTTTGCTTGGATATTCTGGGAGTTTCAGCATGTTGATACTGCAGAGAGGGAGAAACAAGAGGTTTGCAGGGATCATGGTCTACACTGATGGCACACTGTGGTCATAACAGATCATATCTAGGAACTGGAGGAGAGCTGGTGTCTCACTGGTTTCTAAAAGAGGAAATTCAACAATAGGAATTACCTGTCCACCATGCAGAGGCCTCTCCCTGTTTTCAAACTTTGCCATCAGTGTACAAGGATATCACTACCAAGTGTCACAAACACTGAAGGAACACACTGCCCTCTAGTGCTTAGTAACACAAAGGTCCATCAGGGAAGGTCCCATAACTGTTGAGGATGTTGGTGACATGTACTATGTCTGTGTCAGCAGGGGGTTGAGGACTAAAGGTGACAGATTGTGCAATTTCTTCTTGTGGAGAATAAATCTACAACTTTGGAGTACTGTTGAGCATCCCTGCCAGGTGTGTAAGAAGTGTGGCAATGGGCCAGGACCACAAGACCATTATAAGTTAAATTGTGTGCACAGAGACAAAACAGTGCCCATTTCATAGGAAGATTGCAGGAAATGATTATGTGACAATGTGAATGGAGGCAGTGGTAAATTAGCACATTTTCAAATAAGAAATTCTAATTAATTTCAAGTGTAAACTAGTCTTTTAATCAGTGTACAAAATCTCAGTGAAACACGGCAAAAAGTGGTGCAGTACACAATTCAAGGGGGAAAAAAAATCCCTACTGTACTGGGGTTAAAATGGGTTCGTAATGTTTATTTCTAAGAGAAAAACACACAGTACCTGTACCTGATGAAGATATTTTTTTTTAAATTAACATCTCTATGGTGAATTGGACCCCCTGGACAGGTCGCCAGTCTATTACAGGGCTAGACTTAGAGACAGACAACCAATCACACTCACATTCACACCTACAGACAATTCTGAATCACCAATTAACCTCAACATGCTTTTGGACTTGTGGGGGGAAGCCGGAGAACCCGGAGAGAACATGCAAACTCCACGCAGAAAGATCCCGGTGTCCTCACCGGGACGCGAACCAGCAACCTTCTTGCTGCAGTGCTAACCACTTCGCCACCTTGTAGCCCAAAACAACAAACTGAAACAACTAAATCGTCCTTTTTCACACATAATAACCAAAAAGCTTAACATTTTGTACGACCTCCTTTGGCTCTGATAACAGCTTGCATTCTTGCTGACATTGTTTTTATGTACTTTTCCACAGTCTCTTTTGTTATTGAGTTTCAAACAGTTTCTCGCTGTTCCCACGGACTTGCTTTACATGACACTTTGGTCTACACTGTGGTCATTCTGGAGACTTTCTCAGACTCTGATCTAGAAGCATTCATCTCTGCCAGAAGATCAGCAGTGGTCTTCTTTCTGTCTCGAGTACTCAAAATGTTGAGGTGTCTGACATCTGCTTCAGTTAACTTTCGTTTCCTGCCTCTTCCTTTTTGTAAGTATCAGTCTAAGCAATTGACTCCAAAGCACACTTGACCATACTGTGAGAACACTTTATGTCTTTCGATATTTGTCTCATCAGAAAGTGCTTTAATTCACACTCAGCTCTATGGGCTTCTCTGAGAAGTCAGACATGAATCAAGCATAGCATTCAACCACTAAAAGTTTTCTGGTCAGGAATGCAAGTAAATAACTATAATTTGACATCTTAATCAATAAATAATAATGTGCTTACTATTTTTTCAGTTTTTTGTAAAACAGTAATTTTTAAAATTCATTGATGACAATAATTATATTTCAGCATTAAAAATATAATTTCTGTTAAAGAGCTTCTACATACTGGTGTATTAACCGATACAGAAACATAGAAAATTATTTTGGTAATTACCAATGCTGTTAATTTATGGCAGCTATGGCATAAACCTTACACTGGGTGGTCTAATACATTTGTTGAAGACTGTATATGAGTGGCAAGTGACAATGTTCTGGAAAAGGAAAAATAATGTGATAATGCAAATTGATAGAAGGCAAAGACTGCATTAAGTGATGCTGTTGACTGGGAAACAAGCTGGAGTCAAAACATCCATGAGACACTGACAAGTCAAAGATAATCCAAAAAACATCTTATACAGGGCCTGCACCAATCTCAAATACAAGACTGAATACAAATGAATCAAAAGAAAAAGAGTAATTACCAGGTACTGGAGGTAGGCAGTAGATTAGAGGTGTATGGTACTGCAGCAACGGTGAATTTCTGTAAACCGCTGCCACCCATCAAGTAAGCAAAGCCACCATGAGGAACTCTGGAACTGAGAGAAAATAGCACTTAATTTACTTTTTTAGGCTTTGACACATTTTTTTATATTGAGAACTTCTGAGGAATTCCAGCAGAGAAACCTTCCGGTGACAAACTGAAGCAGAAGAACCCGTTCCTCCTGGGTCAAGCTCTTTACCACTTCCCAGAACCACTGCAAAACACACAGACAGATTAGAGCTACATCACACCAGTTTACACCATACACAGTTTTCAAAAGCTAGAAACCGCTCGCCCAGAAGATGAGGTGACATATATATTCTTTATTCTATATTGTATATATTCTATATTCTTAACATAATCTTTTGTCAAAATTAAAAACATACAGTTTAAAGTTGGATGATAGACTGCATCCCATATAGGATAAATAATTGTGCTTTTGTCATGCAAAGCTAATCGAGGAGAATCATCAGTTCTTTATCGTCAGACATTTAAAACGTATATTCCTGTATATCACTGCCTTGTAAATACTGTCTTCTTGGAAATGTTTTCAAAATAATACATAAATGTAATATGGTAACAACCTGTGCCGACAGGTAAACATCAATGTTACTACAAACCCAGTTGATTCAGGTGAAACATAACCATCTTGTCTTAAAAGATTCAGTCCATGTAAAGTGGTAAAAAAGGGCCGACCTGGATGACTGGCTCCTGAGGGTCATAGCCACTGGTGTACTCAGTGTTCCTGCACCAATCTTGCACATCGATCTCTGGCATCCCCGACAGCAGGAGTTCCTGTACGCACGCATGTGCATGCACACGCACACAAAGCATTAAGAAAAGATAGCAAGTAGCTGAAAGATCCTTTGAACTCTATGTACCTTCACATTGCTAAAACCAGCCAATCAGAGGTGAAGTAAAACAGCTATTAAGAAGTGTAAACACAAAACAAGCTGCTGAGTTGCCCTGCAAAAAGCACGATCAAGCACGTCCAACAAATCATAATGCTACCCTATTGATCCATACGGATGGGAAACTGCACAAACACAGCACACAAACCCTTTAAAGAAGTTGAAGATATGGCTAATCAATACCACATCAGATCTAAGTGGGGTGTCGGGCATAAGGCTCCAAGGAGGAGAGCAACTGGAAAAAGCACAGGGGGAAGAAAAGTAGACAAAGACAGGGAGGTTAGAAAAGGCTGACTAACCAATTCATATTCATCAAAAAGCTGAATGAGTGACGGGGGGATGAAGGTGTGGAATCCTCGTAGGAAAGCGTTTATCTGAGGCTGGATGGCTCGCGTCATCCTCAGCTCCGTCACCAGCTGGACATACTCAGCCTAAGAGAAGACACACACACACCCAGATAAGTCTTTGCAGAATACTGGTGAACATGAGAAAGAGACTGACCTCATATATAATAGTTGTTCCGCTCCTTTCAGCTGCTGTCTTTATAGGGTAATGCCATCTGCAGGAACACTGCAAGTGCTACACTCTAATTAGAAATTCCATAGAAAAAAATAGCTGGAGGAGAGAGATCAATTAAACGTCATCTTCAACCACACTGCTAGAGAATAACACCATAAAAACAATCTATATCTAAAGCCCCCCCCCCCCCCCAAGACTTTTAACAGACAAAAGTCCAGTAACTAAGCAACTTTCAAACCCCTCTTTTTGTCCTAGGCAATTTATTTATACACATGACTTGCTGCTAAATTCATAACCTCACTGGCAAGAGTCTCTCACTGGTCATCAATTAAACCCCAAAAATATTTTTTTTGTTGATCAAAATTACATATTCATATATTTCTTCATGAAATAAACCCTACATGCCTTAAACTTGTAATGTAGCTTTACACCTTTGCCTCCGTTAGCATGCATGGATCTGTGAATGTGCAATCCCATGCTTTTACACATACTTGTCTGGCATATGCCTGCAGCTAGAGCACACCAGCTCGCCTACTCCTTTGCTCAAACACGAGAAAATGATTCTATGCTACATGATACCAAGTTGTAATATTGGAGTAATTCAGACATATGTTCAAACCAGAACCCCAATTNCACTGCAGCTTCAAGGTGGAAATGCTCAGGTGTTGACTACCTATTTCCCTCATGATATGTCTTCTAGTATGTAAACCACCACATGGACACAGTAACAAGGTAGATCCATGTTTTTGAGACTGTTGTTGCTACACTGCAGCTTCAACGTGGAAATGCTCAGGTGTTGACTACCTATTTCCCTCATGATATGTCTTCTAGTATGTAAACCACCACATGGACACAGTAACAAGGTAGAAACATGATTATCAGAGGAAGTCTTCAAATGAATAGCTTGACATGTTGGGAAATAGATTTTTTCCTTTCTTGCTGAGAGTTACAGAATATCTATACCACTCTCTTGTCTGTACAGTACATATGAAGTTGCAGTAAGCTGTCTGGAGTGGAAACAGAGGGAACAGCATGCCTAACAAAAGTCACGTATAAACAGCTCTAATGCCCTCTCATTAACATGTTATATTTCAATTGTACAATCACCTCAAAAAATTAAGAGTAAAATTGTGACATTGTGGTTTTGCAAGACGTTGCCAGGCATCATGCTTGAGCCCATGGTCAAGGAAATTACTTGTGGTCTGTTCTATCACTTTGATCCAGGCTTTACATAACATGTTCTAACAAATAACCTTCAGATTTTTATTTTATTTTATTTTTTTAATTTAAAATTGTTTAAAAGGCATTCAGATTCTTAGACAGTTGTATAAACCCCTCCCTAAAGTCCTCCCAGCTTGTTCTGACTGATTTCAATTCAAGACTACACATCCTGACAAGACATTCAAAAGACAGGTTGTGTATATCATTTTTGTACAGCACAAATTAGTCTAATCTTTACTAATAGTCAGGTATACTGCTGTGGAATCCAACTCAATCAGACTTCTGAAACAGCAGTTGCCAGCCTTAATATTTTCTGTTTATGACTAAAAAGAAGCATTATCTCCTTGACTACAAAACCGTATTCTAAGCAGTCAGCTTGCGTCTGTTTCCACCTAAATGAAATAAAGTATTAGCATGCACATCACTGCGTTTTCTCACATAACGAGGGGGAGGAGTAACAACCCCCAATTGAAACCGAAGCTCAGGTGTTAATGGCTCCTGAGTTTATAAGTATCTGGATCTCCCAACTAGTCAGTCAGAACTGATGAAGCCTCTTGGATGAGAGGTGAAACGTCTTCAACAAACTCAAACAAGTCCAGTTGCTATGATTAATCTACCAGAATACTGCGTTTTCTCCTTTCACCAACCAAACCAGTTTTTGCTGTATGTTTGCATTGTATGAGATGATGCCTAGGACTGTGTTCATGGGGACTGACCTTGTTGTCCTGGGTGACCAGGATGCTGATCCCTCCAGGTTTAAGTGGCACTTCCTCCATCGCCCCAAACACATCTGTTTCGACAGAGAAGGTGAGCTCTAAACCCAGATCACTTATGTCGTTGTCCAGAATCCACTGCAGATTTTTAGCATACTCTGGATCGATAGACGACACGTCCTGGTAGTTCACTGGGATACCTGAAAAACACACAATCACACACAGAAACACAGGCACACATATTATACACAGTACAGAAAAAAATAAGACTGGATCAAGGAGGTAATATAATAGTAAATCTTGAAGAGGTCAAAATACAAACTTTTAATATGATTTTGATATACATAACAAAGCTGACAGACATATGGGAATATGCAATTATAAATATTTTTTATAAACAAAACACAAAATATTTATTACTTAATATAATTACTTATTACTAATACTTATTCACGACAATTTGATATTAGATTTCCCTTGGAATTTTTGCTATTTTAGGATGGAGAATTATCCATATACATGTAAGATGTGCTATTATCCATCCCCAAAAATTAAATAAAAACAAGGTATAAATTATAATACAAAGCACAATACCTAAACATTTTTTAAAGTATATTAATCCTAAAATTGCTGTCTGAAAACATATATGTGGAAAAGGTCAAAACATCACTAGAATCATTTTAGTCAAGAAAAAAAGGTACCAGCACAATCGTGTGCAAGCAATATGAACAATCAATTTTGCTGTTATCTCCTCTGGTCCATGTTTAGTGTGGTACACGCCATGTCGCCAAACAGCACAGTGACTACTTGTAACCCTATAAATTGGCCGACTGATTACAAGTTTATAGGCACCTGTGATGCTAATTAGAGGACACACCTTGATTGAACATGTCCCTATGGTTACATTATTTTCAGTCTTTTCTAGGGGTACCATCATTTTTGTCCAGGCCTGTTTCATGAGTTTATTTTTTAAAATAATTCTGTTGAACCACAGTTCAAAAGCAATGTCTGATTTTCATTGCTTAATTTTCATTGAATTTTTGTTTGTTATTACTTTTTTCAGATTCAAGTTATTTCTGTGACTGTTGTGAGTTTTTCTTTCATTAACCGAGGGGTGCCAACAATTTTGTCCACTTGTGTAAAATGTGGGGAAAAAAGTTTACAGTTTACAGTGACCTACCTCATTAAACACAGGTGCAGCAAATAGGTACTAGAAGTCAAACAACTAATTGAATGAAGATTATTTAAGTTAAGCATATGTGTTTTAAGTAATTAGAATACAAAGATACTTCCATCCATCCATTATCTATACACCACTTAATCCTCACTAGGGTCGCGGGGGGCTGGAGCCCATCCGAGCCGAAGGCAGGGGACACCCTGGACAGGTCGCCAGTCTATCACAGGGCCACACTTAGAGACAGACAACCAAGCACACTCACATTCACACCTACGGACAATTTAGAATCACCAATTAACCTCAACATGTTTTTGGACTGTGTGGGAGGAAGCCGGAGAACTCGGAGAGAACCCACGCTGCACGGGGAGAACATGCAAACTCCACGCAGAAAGATTCCAGTGCCCCAACCGGGACGCGAACCGGCAACCTTCTTGCTGCGAGGCAACAGTGCTACCAACTGCGCCACCCTGCAGCCCTTACAAAGATACTTGTATCTGGAAAATCCAGTGACTAGTGAATCCGTACTCCTAGCTATAATTACACCATGAAGACAAACAAAAAACACTTTAAGCAACTCCACAAAAAGGTTATCAAAAAGCATAAGTCAGAGGATGGATGATGGAATATCCTTCGAAGTACAGTTCAGTCTATATCTAAGAAATGGAAGAAATATGGCACATGCTTAAATCTGCCGAGAGCAAGCCATCCTCAAAAACAAGTGACTATGCAAGAAAGAAACTAGTGAGAGAGGCTACCATGACACCTGACTCCACTGAGGTGGGAGAGACTGCATACAACTGTTGCCCGTGTTCTTTACCAGTCAGAGCCTTCCGGAACAGTGGCAAAGAGAAAGTCGATGCTGAAAAAAATCTCACATTAAATCTTCACTAAATCTCTAGTTTGCCAAAATCCATGTGGGATACTCTTTAGTCAACTGGAAGAAGGGTCTTTGGTCTGACCAAAGAACCTTGGTCCAAAATTGAGCCAAACAGTGTGCATTATCACAAACACACCTTCCCTGCCATGAAGTAGTGGCAACATCATGACATGGAATGCTTGTTTGTAGCAGACCCTTGAAAGCTTGTAAGGGTAGAGGATGAAATGAATGCAGTAGAGTATAAGCTTGAGGACAACCTGATGCAGTGTGCAAGAGAACTGAAACTTGACAGAACACTTTTTCCCCAGCAAGACAATAGGCCAAAGCATACAGCCCAAGTTCAGAGCCCAGACCTCAAACCAATTGAGACTTTGTGGCAGGATTAAAAAAGTGCTGTTCACTTATGATCTTTGTGCAACCTCACAAAGTCTGAGCAGTCTTGCAAAGGAAGTAAAACTGCAGTGTTGAGATGTGCAAGGCTGATTGAGACCTATCCACACAAGCTCAAAGTTGTTCGTGCAAACCTGCATTTACTAAAAGGGGATAAATACTTATGAAATCATTTAGTTTTATATATTCTTAAATAATTGCCATTACTTCGCAGAAATCTGTTTTCACCTTGACACAGCATTTTTTTGTTAAATTCTACATTAACCATGGTTCAATGTTGAAAAGCAATAACAGTGGAAAACATCCAAGGCGGGTAAAAAAATATATATATAGACACTGTATCTATACACTGTATGCACGGTAAAGATTACAATTTTATTTCTACTTTAAATAAATATTTCACTTTTTTTCCACAAAGTTTCTGGGTTCCTACAGTGAAAGTCATACTCAGTTAGCAAAACAGACAAAATTGACATTATTTGATATTACAATCTTTTTAAGGTAAGACTTGACATTTATTAAGTTAGACAAGTCAAGTTACAGCATATGTATAGAGTGTATTGCAATATAGTTTTTAAAGTTAAACTTCAGTTCAATATTGACTGAAATAGATTTCCATGTGACTGAGCATTACCACATGTGACACAATCAAAATGTGAGTGTCATCAGGAGGACGGCATGAATTTGTAAAACCACTGACACAAATGTTTAAACTGTTGTCGGATTATTAAACTGAACAAATGACAAAACTGGAAAATAGAATTTTTCAATGATGATTAAATTAGACTCATGTACAAAAATGAATAATCTTGTGTAACCCCTGTATAATTGCAACCTATAAAGAACATACAACATGCAGTAACTGGGATAGAAAGAGTGCCATGAGCTTGTAAGTTATTGTGTGAGCTTGTGGGCTCTTGTGGATCGTGATGACCTGGCAAGCTAAAATGCAGACCTCAGCTGAATTTAAAGTTTAAAGGGAGAAATGGTAACAGCTGCTGGATGGCGTCAGCAAAAAGGATTAGGGAAAGGATGTCAAGACGAATGACGAGGTGGTCAAATGAAAATGGCGAGGTTTAGCAGTTGTATAACGAGAACAGAAGATAGGAGGGGGTTTTGGAACGGCCTGCTGACTTTCTTAAAAAAAGGAGGTATTTGAAAACTTGCCACAATTAGATCAGACACTCCAAGACATGAATAAATCTAAATTTATTCAAAATTAAAATTAAATTCAATTAAAAGAATGGGTTGTGGTTTCCCAGAAGGAGGAGAGTTTGGGAGGAGTTTACAGAAGTATATAAGAAGTTATGAAAGTATTGTTTAGTCAGTAAAACTGTTAATATTTTGTTCATGTTTGTTCCTACAGCCTCTGTATTGATTATTCACGAGACTTTAAAATCTATTTCGAAGACATTTTCTTCAAAACTTTTTGAAGACTCCAATAGTTGACCCAGAAGTAATTTTCTGACTACCTGTTGAACAAAGTTGCCTGATCATCTTTGGCCCATAGCAGGCAGACTGAGTCATAACAAACCCTGGATCAGACATGCTGAAAAATGTATGAGGTGGCTATTAAAGACTGAGACTGGGCTTGTGTCGGTTAAACCACAGCATGCAAGCCTAAAACACAACACATATTGATCAGTGGGCAAGCATAAACAACACCTGAAATTTTTTAAAAGTGAATTAGTTTCATTATTAAATAGGTACACCTCATACATTCTAAATTACAGCGTATGCAATTTGCTACATTCATTGTTTCAAAATTTGATTTCAATTCTGAATGGACTGATTGTTGAGCACAAGTATTATCAATCAATCACCCATATATGCACAAAAGGAGACTGTATTCCTTACCCAGTATGTGTTTGTAGAATGAACGAGTGAAGTAGATGTTGACCAGCTGTCGGTGGTACAGAGCCAGACCCAGAATCTGACCTGCGAAACGGAAGTAGTTCAGATGGTCTGGATTTACTGAGGAGTTGCTGTTGGGCTGAAAAGTTGTTCCTGTGGATCACACGCGCACACATGCACACATGCGCGCATGCGCACACACACACACACACACACACACACACACACACACATTTTACATTATATAGTCCTGCGTGTCACACTGAATGTTATCGCTATGTGGAAAACATCATATACCATCAGCTGACTGAGTGAACAGAGCATAGTCTGGGTTGATGATCTCATTGGATAAGATGTCAAACCACTCCCGAACCACACCCTGGCCCTGAAATACACAAACAAATTCAGCACAAACTAGAACACAGCTTACTACTTTGGATTTTATGGGACATGGGACTGGAGTCCTGCTAATTCTTCTGTTGACAGCTGAATTACTGAGAGTTATGAAGTGTCATATGAATGTAGAAACTCACCATGCCCTCCTCACCATGGAAGCGAACAGCAATGCCCTGTTTGAGTTTCTCATTGGTGGACTTGGAAACCATCTCACAGCTACTCCTAAATATGGAGTCTGTTGGTGAAAAAGAAAAAGAAAACTAGTATACTGCATTAAAAAAAAAAAACAATTAAAAGAAGAGATGGAAAATAAGATAGTCAGGATTGGAGCCATACGCATGCACTGCATGCTTTTCTGTAGTGCCTAAACCGCTTCATGCATGAACCTGCATGAAGCAACAGCAAGTCTAATTATTGTGGTGCTCATGGAAGCGTTTGGTATTAGTGGGCTCCAAAAATGACACTGAATGTTAATACAGTACTAACAACTGGCACATATCCACCTTCAGAACCTCATTCTGTGTGGACCAACAAGCCAGGCAGCAGAAGTGTAAAGTACAGCTGTGAGTGGACTTGGTTTGATCTTCACTTTCTACATACAGAAGAAGAAGGTACACACAACAGTGAAAGTGTGTAGTAGTAAGCAGAATCTGTACCTCTGTGGATGAGCAGGATGTCACTCTCACTGACTGGACGATGAACCATGTCTGAATCTGGCTGGCTGGCCAGCAGATGCTCATAGAACCACTCAGAGCGATCCTTAAAGGGCTGATGGGGAAAACAAGGCTTTATCTCACACTGTACGGCACTTTCCTAAACTAATTATCACTTCGCGATGTTTTCAGTGTTCAGCCTGTGGATTTTTCAGTCTCAACTCATGGCTCGGAAAGCACTCAGTACTGAAATATTCATCTGTAATACAGAGATGAGTATAGGGTTTATTTGCATAATACATGCCTTTGTTCTCTAGGCATAGGAGGCTTTTCCCCTGGGGCCCCTAGGGTGTAACAGGAGCGGGATGAGAAGATGAAATCAAATTTACTAGGTTCATATGTGTAATTAAAACAAGGGCCTATTCCCAGGTGAACCATTATCCATGGTTAACAAGACTCAAATGCTGCAGCACAAATATGAATGCAGAACAGTGAGAGAACAGCACACAACTCAAAGTAGTACTTTAAAATTTATGAAGCCATATAAATGGAACTTAAGTATTATCACCATAGTTGTAACACTGTAAAATGATTCTGCAGTGAACATAAAGACAGACTTGTCAGATAAAGACGAATAAGGTAAATACTTTTGAAGCCACAGTTTAGTTTAGTTAGCATAGACATATGAAGTAGAATAGAGTGATGGTAAAATTTGGAGGTATTTTATTCCTCAAACTAAAATAATGGCAGAGTTTTAGAAGGTCCTCAATCTTGATGAGCCTGACAGTGTACACCTAGGTGAGAACCCTGAACAAAACTTATGGCTGCACTAAAAGAATACCTAACATGTGGACTTAAAATAACACCTTGCAGTATCTGCAGCTCACGACAACTTGGTTTTCACTACAGCCTGACCAATTAACTGGAAAATTTGATACTGAAATTGTAGCTTGTTCAAGACTGGATTTTTAAGGACTACACAAATGACAATTTTCAAGCTTAATTTTAAAAAATATATAATCACTGGATTTTGTCATAAAAAAGACTGACACCTAAAAAAAGTTACACTCAAAAACAGACACTATGCTAAAATGCATTACATTTTTGTCAGCGAACAAAAACTAGACAAAAACGTAAAAGACAAACACATGGAGAAAAAAAGTTCATACTGTTTTGATGCAATACAGCAGTTGTGCCCAAATTTCTATTTCTAATATTTGTTCCACATTTCTAAAGTTAATGTAATCCAGTAAACCCCCGCCATCCACTATGGCCTTAAAATAAACATACAGCATAATTATCACCATTTTGAAATCAACAAAAACTAAAAATGTAGAAATGTTGCAGAAGAAGATTTTTGTGATTAAAAAAAAATCATGTATCATGCCTTACTTGGCCCTTAATTATATGCATGAAGCGTGACATCAACTCAGGACACTCCAGAAGAAAGTGGAAGTGGTTAAAGATTATCTTTGGATTCCTGAAAAGAGGAGGCAGAGCAAGAAAAACGGCATGAGGACATGGGAAAACAACTAAATTAATAAATTCCAAGACACTGCAGAATCAATAGGCTCCAGGACTCTAGTGAGGATTAAGCAGTGCATATAGATAATGGATGGATGAACATTGCAGGATCAATAACCAGTACATAATGTGTGAAGTGTAGGGATGCAAATTTGAACTATTTCCTGTAGCTGCAACCTTAAGCTGCAACCTTACCAATCAATAGTTGACTAATCGAAGTTATTAAAAATACACGGTGGCCACTATAATGTATTACTTTCAGTTTGCCTACACACGCAGAATTTGTCACTCTGATAACGTACATCACGTAACACTGGCTGACTAATACAGATATTAATCCACATGCTAAACCAGCACTCTCATAGAGTGTTGCCACTCATTAACAAAAGAAGAATTCTGGCCAGTTCCATTAGTTGTCATTGGACCTTTTCTAATTATTGCACTTTAATAACTAAACTCCCACAATGCTCCCTGCTTGCCACTAGTCCAAGTGACCGTCTTCTCAGGACCCGTCAGTGTTAAACAATAAAAGGCCTCATCTGGTACAATAGAACAAGAACAATACATTTTCTAACATGCATGTCCTTTGCCAGGCTACACAGTGGTTCAGTCGTTAGCACTATCACCTCACAGCTAGAGGATCCCCCGTCCTGGTTAGGATAAATGGTAAATGGTCTGTACTTATATAGCGCTTTTCTACCTTTGCGGCACTCAAAGCGCTTTACAATGTTTCTCATTCAACCATTCACACACCAATGGCGACAGAGCTGCCATGCAAGGCGCTAGCCTGCCATTGGGAGCAACTTCGGGTTCAGTGTCTTGCCCAAGGACACTTCGACTGTGGAGGGGCAGGGGATCGAACCGCCAACCTTGCGATTAGAGGACAACCCGACCTGATCCACAGCCGCCCAGGATGCCTGGGATCTTACTGTGTGGAGTTTGCATGTTCTCCCTGTGTAGCGTGGGTTCTCTCCCAGTTCTCCGGCTTCCTCCCACAGTCCAAAAACATGCTGAGGTTAATTGGTGATTCTAAATTGTCCGTAGGTGTGAATGTGAGTGTGCTTGTTTGTCTCTGTGTAGCCCTGTGATGGACTGGCGACCTGTCCAGGGTGTCCCCTGCCTTCACCTTGAGTCAGCTGGGATAGACTCCAGCCCCCCCGCAACACTAGTGAGGATTAAGCAGTGTATAGATAATGAATGGACCTCTTTTGCCTCATGTCTTATCGGTTAATATATCTTTAACCCTTACACATTGTTTATATCCTATGCCTTCACAGTATGGCCAGTTTTGACCCAGACCAGGAATTCCCTCATAACAAGTGCCGATACCAAATTGTCTATTAAGAATTTTTTAACAGCCTATCTGACATCAATAAATGGATGTTGAGTCCTTACTTAATGTTTCACAGAGCAGGGAGACTATATTTTTTAGATTTTAAATAGCAAATTTTTGGAGAGAAATATCTACTATCACACAATAACATGTCCTATTGTACCTAAGATGTGAAAACATATCAGCCATGTTTAAAATACACTTTAAAATGAAAATGGGATGGAAAGTAGCCAATCTTTGGGTTCTGGAGTCATTTGGATGACATTTTCTGCAGCCATCCTGCCTGCAGCTTAATGTAGAGGTGAGGATCATCTGATTGTGTTGTCCTTCAACATATATGTCTCCCCTACTACCTGCTCCTCTCCCTCAGAGTCAGCTTCATCAGAGTGGCTGTAATTAGTCTTTCTCCATGATATCTTCCTGCTCTGTAACGTCCTCCCCCAAATAACTTTTTGCTTCCTCATCTTGAAAGATTAGATCAATGGCCGCTTGCACAATAAGTCTTCCTGCCATAATGCCAGACCCTAAAATGGCAGCCCAGGTACCTATATAACCTTATGGCCCCAAAACTCCTCCTTTGATGTGTGTTTTGACCTCAGCTTAGAATTATTGGATTCTAATTTGTTTATTTTTAGAATATTTGTTTTATTACAGGTTTTATATTGCAGTGCTTGTCCCTAAAGGTGCAGATCTTAAGACTATGTCAAGGCAACCTCCGACCTCTGTATGGCTTCTGTTCATTATGTATACCAAATATTATCATTCCTAAGCAGTTTGGCTCTTTCAGTGTTTTAAGATTCTCCCGTGACCCTTTCTGTCTCTGCAGTAACCTGGGCACATGTGGTGAGAACGCATATGGTTGTCGTGATAACATTTGTTGTCGTCACTATTTTCCCCTGAAAAAATACACAGACATAGCATGCAGTTTTGCAGTTTCAAATTTCCTAAAACCAGTATTTTGAAATTTGTAGTACCTGTACATATGTATAAAACGTACAATATTTTCCTTTTTGTGTATATGTATAATGTCCCTAGTCAGAAGAGTAATGTATGGCAGCGGAACATTGGCTCACCTGTTCACAAAACACTTCAGCACCTCATCATGCTTGCAGACAAACTCAATGAAGCGGGGGGATGTCATTCTGAGTGAGAAAAGAAAGGGAGGCGAGGTTGATAGTTTAAGAAAGGAAAATCTATAGACAACAGTATAAACATTGAAAAGAAAGTCAGATAATCATAAAAGACATCACTTATCAAAAATGCTGACGGAAAACAAGGTAAAAAGGTAATAGAATAAATAAAGAAAGACAGCTCATTTCACCTGGAATGTCAGTTGTCACTTATTTGTTCATTAATCATCTTCAGTGTTCTAATTGCGCATTACTGTGTCAGCTGAGAAGGGTTTAAACAAAGACGGACTAATGCGAGATGAAACAGGAAGTAGATGAGGCATGGCTGGTTGAAGTGAGAGCTGTCCCAATTTCTTGGGGACTTAGGTTGTAGGACCAGGAACACTGGTATGCATAGGCATCTATATATTGTCATGAAACAAGATATCAATGCTGTACTAAAAATAAGAAAACAAAAAAATGCAGAAGAGTCTTCATTCAGTCAGTCATTTCTCAATGGACTCAGCCATTCTAGCTCCAACTACTATGAGAAGGGGATTCTAATACAAACTTGACTTCACTTGTCTTGTTATAGCACTTGCCATGATGTGCTCCAATAAACATGAGATGAATCTGTGTTCCCATCAACTTTCTCTAGTGATTATGGGTTTGGGATATATATAACCTTAAAACTGCTTTCCAAGTGAGATGTTGTTTTAACTGTAAAAATACAAAAAAATCCCAGATCTGACAACATATGAAATTGTCAAAATACAGCCAAAATATTTTACAGGTCTTAGTTTCCTGAATTTCTAAAGTTTTTTCTGATTTCTGTCTGAACTGACACAGCAGTAGTTGTTGTACTATTGTCAGAAGAATGTCTGTAGTAGCAAGCTTTTGGCACTGTAAACTGGTAAGAGTTCTCAAGGTCTGTCAGATCACAGCTGACACTTGACATCCTCCATGTAAAATTAGGCTTTTTTTGTATACTACTAGAGCTGACAGAAGAAACCTGAGCACAGACCCTTGTGGCATCTGAGAGGAGCAGCACATGTAGAAGGCCTGGATAACAGCACTGAGTCGATTGGCTGTCATGGAGATGACATCCTCTCCGTCAGCATATGTCTCTGCCTCCATGACGATGTGATGGTCCAGCAAGGAGGGAAGCTTTGGTGTGGCAGCAGAGTGGTCAGACTCACGCTGTTTAAAAAGCAGAGAGGCTATCTCACTGCTGGAGGAGGAAGAAGATGGGTTCTTCCTGTTCCTGTCCAGCTCTGTGGAGATGAGCACCAGCCACTCGTCCAGGGAGTGCCACAGCAACTCCAATGGCTGCAGAGAAACAAACAGGAGTCAACCTTGAAGTGTTACCTGGATAAGTTATGACACTACTAATGATCAGTGTTAGGAATGATATCAGAACTTTTAAAATCCTTATTTCAGTTGAATTTGTACAGGGGTCGATTACCCACGTTACAAAGACACATATTTCTATGTGATTCAAAAAACGGATTTGGGTTTTATTTCACAAGGTTAAGCTATCTCTGATCTTTTTAGATTATTCTTGCCTCCACAGAATGAGGGCGAATGGAACTATTTGCTAAGTTGCAAACAGCAAAAAATGACACATGAAAAAAAACATTAATGGCACCATGTCTTTTCAGATACAATGTCCTGGTCTCTCTACAAAATCCACATTTTGTAGACTGTAAGTAATTGGAACTATTTTTGAATAAAATTCTTTATCTTTACTTTATTTGGATGGTGGCCAAAAAAACTGATCTATCTGCATGACTGGACATGATTTTTCTTGGGTGAAGTAGAATGGGCAGAAATGTGAGTTTTTATACTGCAGGTGCTGATGGAGTTCACGATCTTCCTTAGTGACCCGGATGTGTGGTACAGTGTGACAGAATCTGAATATGATTTGTGAAAACTGAATGTAGTGTTGAATTTTCAGTCAGGATTGAATACAATTTGAGAAAAACAGAATTAATTTTAACTATTCGATTGACTTTAGGGCTGCATGGTGGAACGGTGGTTAGCGGTGTGTGTGTGTGTGTGTGTGTGTACATATATATACACAGTGGGGAAAAGAAGTATTTGAACCCTCTGTGATTTTGCAAGTTCTCCCACTTAGAAATCATGGAGGAGTCTGAAACTTTCATCGTAGGTGCATGTCCACTGTGAGAGACATAATCTAAAAAAAAAAAAAGGAAATCACAATGTATGATTTTTTAATAATTTATTTGTATGTTACTGCTGCAAATAAGTATTTGAACCCCCGCCAATCAGCAAAAATTCCGGCCCTAAAAGACCTGTTAATTGCCTCTAGAAAGTCCACCTCCACTCCACTTATTATTCTAGATTAGACACATCTGTTTGAGGTCGCTAGCTGCATAAAGACAGCTGTCCACCCCACACAATCAGTAAGTCTCCAACTTCTAACATGTCTAAGACCAAAGAGCTGTCCAAAGACACCAGAGACAAAATTGTAGACCTCCACAAGGCTGGAAAGGGCTACAGGGCAATTGTCAAGCAGCTTGATGAAAAAAAATCAACTGTTGGAGCAATTATTAGAAAATGGAAGAAGCTAAACATGACTGTCAACCTCCCTCGGACTGGGGCTCCATGCAAGATCTCACCTCGTGGCTTATTAATGATCCTACGAAAGGTGAGGAATCAGCCCAGAACTACACGGGAGGAGCTGGTCAATGACCTGAAGAGAGCTGGCACCACTGTTTCCAAGGTTACTGTGGGTAATACACTAAGACGTCATGGCTTAAAGTCATGCATGGCACGGAAGGTTCCCCTGCTTAAAGCAGCACACATCCAGGCCCGTCTTAAGTTTGCCCATGACCATTTGGATGATCCAGAGGAGTCATGGGAGAAAGTTATGTGGTCAGATGAGACCAAAATAGAACTTTTCGGTCTTAATTCCACTCGCCGTGTTTGGAGGGAAAAGAATGCTGAGTACCATCCCAATAACACCATCCCTACTGTGAAGCATGCGGGTGGAAGCATAATGCTTTGGGGGTGTTTTTCTGCACATGGAACAGGACGACTGCACTGTATTAAGGAGAGGATGACTGGGGCCATTTATTGCAAGATTTTGGGGAACCCATCAGTCAGAGCATTGAAGATGGGTCGTGTCTGGGTCTTCCAACATGACAATGACCCAAAGCACACAGCCAGGATAACCAAGGAGTGGCTCTGTAAGAAGCATATCAAGGTTCTGGAATGGCCAAGCCAGTCTCCAGACCTAAACCCAATAGAAAATCTTTGGAGGGAGCTCAAACTCCGTGTTTCTCAGCGACAGCCCAGAAAGCTGGCTGATCTAGAGAAGATCTGTGTGGAGGAATGGGCCCAAATCCCTGCTGCAGTGTGTGCAAACCTGGTGAAAACTACAGGAAAAGTTTGACCTCTGTGATTGCAAACAAAGGCTACTGTACCAAATATTAACATTGATTTTCACAGGGGTTCAAATACTTATTTTCAGCAGTACCATACAAATAAATTACTACAAAATCATACATTGTGATTTCTGGATATTTTTTTTTTTAGATTATGTGTCTCACAGTGGACATGCACTGACGATGAAAGTTTCAGACCCCTCCATGATTTCTAAGTGGGAGAACTTGCAAAATCGCAGGGGGTTCAAATACTTCTTTTCCCCACTGTACATACATATATAGTCGTGAAAATTTTTTTTCACTTGTGAAGATTTGGTGAAGTTTTCAATGCCTATTATAGAGCAATTGAAACACATGCATCTTTGTCACAAAAAAAAAATCATGCATTTTGATTCTTTCATAGATTTATTATAGGTCTTCTGGGAATAAGACAAAATCTGCTGGGTCGAAGATATACAACTTGAACCATTAGTTTTAGTAATACAAAAATTTATGTTAATCAAATGTTGTTAGTGCATGACCTTTTACCTTCTTGTGAGTGACTACATCGGCTAACTTCTCTGACTGAAATAGAGTCCATTTGATACACTCATTAGACTCTGCTACAAACACTGCAGTGGGAAAGTTCAAGGAGTCGAGTACAGATCTGAAAAGTCAAATCGTCGACAAGTCAGACAAGTCAGGAAAATCACTTAGAGCCATTTCAAAGATGCTTCAGGTCCCAAAATCAACTGTGCAAACAACTGATTTATAAAGTGCATGGCACAGTTGTGCCATTGCCATAATCAGGACAAAAATGCAAGCTATTACCTGCTGCTGAGAGACAATTGGTCAGGATGGCCAAGAGCCAACCAAGAATCACTAAAAAGCAGGTTTGCAATGAATTAGAAGCTGCTGAAACACGTGTCAGTGTCCACAGTCAAGGGTGTTCTACATGGCCATAGGCTGAGAGGCTGCACTGCAGGAAAGATGCCCTTTTGACAGAAATGGCACCATTAAGCTAAAATGAAGTTTGCAACTGATCACAAGGAGGAAGAAAAGTCCTTCTGGAGGAATGTTCTGTGCTCAGATGATACAAAAATTGAGCTGTTTGGCCACAATGACCAACAATGTGTTTGGTGGGGGAAGGCGAAGCCCTTAACCCCAAGAATACCAAACCCTCTGTCAGGCATGGTGGTTTTAGTATGATGCTGTCAGGCTGTTTTGCTGCTAGTGGAACTGGTGCTTTACACAAAGTAAACGGAGTAATGAAAAAGGAGTAATACCTCCACATTCTTCAGGGGAAAAAATAAAAATCATCAGCCAGAAGGCTGGGCCTTGGATGTAAGAGTCGTAAAGAAACAAACATGAAAAGTGGTAAAGAAATGGCTAGATTAAGCTAGAATTAAGGTTTCAGACTGGTCCCAAAGCCCTGACAAGAATCTGCATACTGCACTGAACAAAAAAAAAAGATAGATACAACATACAAAGACAAAACCAGAAGCTTGCGGATGCCTACCAAATTAAAGCAAAAATTGCCATTTAACAAAATATTAGAATTGTATGTATATTTTTGACCCAGCAGATTTTTTCATAGACATAGGCTGCACGGTGGCTCGGTTGTTAGCACCGTCGCCTCGCAGCTCGGAGATACCCAGTTCGCATCCCAGTTAGGACGCCGGAGATCTTCCTGTGTGGAGTTTGCATGTTCTCCCTGTGCAGCGTGGCCTCTCTCTGCATTCTCCAGCTTCCTCCCACAGTCCAAAAACATGTTGAGGTTATTTGGTGATTCTAAATTGTACCGTACATGTGAACGTGAGTGCATGTTTGTCTCTCTGTGTAGCCCTGCAATAGACTGGTGACCTGTCCAAGGTGTCAGCTCCTGAGTGTGCTGGGATAGATTGGTGTATGCACATAGACTGTATAAAAGATGGACGTAGCAATCGGCCCTGAAAAATGAAGCCAACCTGGAAGTGTCAAAAACCTGCAATATCACCACGTCCGCTAGTTACTAGCTCCAAAAAGCCCTGGCTCCCATAGACTTGAATTGGAAAAGAAGTGATCACAGATCATAAAATACCGCATTCCTACAGCTCAGGATTTTTTTCTTATTAGTTTTCGTAGTCAATCATCATCATCTGAAAATAAATCAATATTGAAATTTTTAAAAATCGTCAAAATTTTGCAGGGCAAGGGGTGTAGCTGGCTTGATTGACAGTCGGCAGCGACGATGCAGACGAAGCGAGCAGAAGGCGGTAAATGTGGGCGGGCAGAGAGGGCCTGCCTCTCAATCCGTCTGACCAATCACTGCTCCTATGGCTCCGCCCCCTCTGACTATTTTTGCGTCACTGGCTCCAAAAATCCACGATGTCAACCAGGAAGTAGCAGAAACTAACGGATGACGTCACGGTCGCTACGTCCATCTTTTATTCAGTCTATGTGTATACATAATGGATGGATGGAGATTTTGCCATATTTCCAGAAGACCTGTACTAACTCTATGAAAGAACCAAATGTATGATTATTTTTGTGAGAAAGATGTATGTGTTTTAATCATTCCATCATACAAAATTAAGAGTTATAGGAGTCCCTGGAAACTCAAGATTGCCATGGTATTTATGGTCTATACAAGTGTATCTAGGCTTTTGTTCACAATTGTAGTTCTCGACATACAAAATTACATATATTGAAAAAATTTAACTACATATTCGACCTTATTCCATGTCAAACTATTTTATTTTCATACCACAACCCTAACTCTGTCTAACAACAAACATCAAACGTCAGTATCTATAATTTTTAAATTAAACTTTAAATATCAGAGTAAATCAGTCAGATTATTAATTAGTGGGTGATCAAATTGAAAGGCCCTGCTATCATGCATGGAATTAGAATTAACTACAAATAATAGAAAGATATCCATGGCTCACATCTAAGACAGCACACCTTATCCAGGAACATTCATCTTGACATCTTGTGCTATCTCAGACTGTCTCACACACATCTGTAACCAATGGAATCAATTCGTATTGTGCTTTTTAAGTTGAAAGGACAAAAAGTGAAGCCAATATGATCATGTGTCATGATCAGTATGGCTGTATTGTGGTTTTTGATACTAGGGACTTGAGAAAATCCAAAAATGTAGAAACCTACAAAAGAGCAACCACATTAAATGTTTTATATTTTGTGCACATCTTTGACCTACCAAACTAATGCATAGTGATACTTGTTTAAAGTACTGTCGAAGCAGTGTACCTGGTGTTTTGTGTTTGCTAAATGTTTCTTTTTCTTTTCTTTTTTTTTTTTGCATAAGCTTTCCCCAGAATGAAGCTATAACCAATTCATTCAGGTTTAATAAACAATTTGGTTCAGGAGGCACACAGATCCCAGTATACTGTACATACACCTACTAACCTTAAAGACCTGGCTGCGAGGTGTCTTGTTGCCATTGTAGCCCATGTCGTTGCCATTGTTAGGTGATGAAGGCCCCAGGCGAAACACATGGCAGAAAATACGAACAATTCTCAGCAGACTTTTCATCTGAGCTTCATAGTTGCTGGACAGGCTGACAGGGGACAGAGGAAAAACCTATCTTAGTAGTAATCAATTTTTAATAAAATTTCAGATAAGGCTCTTATGCTAAAAATTGCTTGGCAATTGTAAATAAGCAGAGCAGAGACATCCAGACAACATAGGTAAAACAGCAAAGCAACAGTGTGTACGGCAAGTCATCCATCACGTCAGTTCAAACTAAACTAAATTTCAGCTCCTATGTGATGAAAATTAAAAAAAAAAAAAAAGGACTACATTCATAACTTCTGAGTACCATTAATCTGAACTGTTGGTGTCCTGTTTTTAGGTGCAGTAAAGTTTTATTGTTATGGACATTTTAGATGTAGCCTAAGATTTGTAGAGCAAAAAGAATGAGAAAGGTGTGGTATGATTTTAACACAAACAGTTCAGGTACAGTTCAGAATTATGCCATGCAGGAAATGATGTGGATGTTACTAGATCCAACCTAGTAAGACTGCCTATACCTACACTGAAAAGGGACCAGGGTGCACATTAGGATATTAAGCTGATAGGTTCAACTGCTGTCAGATTATTAGAAATGAGTGCATTTCTGAAAGGGGTTTTTGTGTTGTAAATTTAGTTTTAAATAAATAAAACTAGCAGTATTTTCCCAATCAATGTACCCTCAAAAATCCACAATTACAATGTGAAAACATGTTTTTAAGACTCTATTGTGGGTTTATTAAAATTCGAAAACTGAAATCTCTCATTCACTAGTGTCGCTATGCCAGGCCATAGCCCATTCTGTTGAACATAATGGTCTTGCTGCACCACACTATCATTTATCTATAGGAGTGAAAGACTCTGGCTTGTTTGCATTTGTTTAAACCAATAACAGCTGTTGTGGGCGGAGCTTCAGTGCTTCTTCAAAAAAGTGTCAGTTGAAGTTGTTGTGGTGGAACATTTGCATTCAGGGAGAGGAGCACTGTGAATAAAATGGCTGCTCCACCAAAAAACTAGCAGAGCTATTTGTATTAGTAGGTATCAGTATCAGTTTCATAGTCAGTGCAGTAGATTGCAGCACAGAGCTTGTTGTTGTGGTTTGCCGTCTTGAAGAAAGTTGTAACACGCAGACTGCAGAATGGGGGAAGAATGTTTACTTATGTTGTGTTCACACCAGACACCAGTAAACTCGCTTCATTCACTCGTCCAAAACCGTGTCATTCGTGTGTCCGCCAGGAATTTCTGCCCGTTTCCTGCCAATTTCCAGTGTGATATCTTCAAACATGGCTGTGCTCAACAACATTGCTGCATTTTTTCTGCTGTGGAAGGCCCAGAAACAACGGAGATCCAGACGCCGCCATGTCTGGGTCCATCGAATCCTCCAGAGACGCACACAGTTCGGGGAATTCCACCACATTCTCCAAGGCCTGGGCCTGGATGACGGCTGCTTCCAGTGCTATTTTCGGCTGACCCAGACCCAGTTTGATGACCTGTTGGAGAGGATCAGTACCAGGATATCCCTCCAGGTTACCAGGATATGTCACCAGACAATCTCAACGCTGATTGGCCATCGTGGCGCGAATGCTCGCTTAAGTTCAAATGTTTCAGCTTGCGCAAATTATTTTTTTTGTTGTTGTTGTTGTTGTTGCGATGGCGCGGTGAGAGTGGCAGCCAGTTGCAGCGGCTCCTACCTACTTTCTGTGTTTTTAGCTATTTACTTTGGTTTCTCGTCTATCATTTTAATATTTTAATTTCACACAGCTGTACCACACTTGTGCGAGAACAGTGGAGATGCAGATGGCGTTTTTGCTTGTCTGTTCTTTGCTTTTCTTTGCAAGTTTTTGGGGTCCGTGTCTGGTGAGCCGTTGAGCCGTTGAGCCATGGCTCTATTGTTTTTACACTCATGAACGGCTGTTGGCGCTGAACCAGGCCAAGCCTCGTCGTGGGAGAGTCCGGACATCCCCAATGAGCTGGAGGAAGAGGGGATGCAGGGCAGAAGTGAAGCGTCGGGAGAAGAAAAGATGCTACAAGTCGTCCGTCCGTTCATCATCATGGGAAAAGTGAGGTCTCTCCCTAACAGGCAGGAAGAGCTAACAGCTAACAGCGCTGACCTGGCTGGAGTGGGAGTATCGGGAGTGCAGCCTTATGTTGTTCATGGAGTCATGGCTCAACAAACTCCCTCGCTCGTAACTTTGGATGGATTTCACCTGGTCAAAACGGACTGGAGCTTGAGGGAGAGTGGTAAGAAGAAAGGCGGGGGACTCGCCATGTATGTGAATGAGAGACGGTGTAATGCTGGGCACATTAGCGTTAATGAGCAGCGCTGCACGAAGGATGTTGAACTGCTGGCAGTTGGTTTGCGGCCATTTTACCTGCCGAGGGAGTTTTCGCACGTCTTGGCGATTGCAGTTTACATCCTCCCCCTTGGCTGCTGTGGCCTGTGAACTCATCCATAGTTCAGTGTCCCAGCTGCAAACATCACACCCTCAGTCTCTGATCATCATCTCAGGAGACTTTAATCATACATCGCTCTACCACTCTCCCCACATTCTGCCAGGATGTGGACTGCCCAACCGGAGACAGTGGTGCCTTGGACCTGCTGTTGCAGACACCAGGGATGCATATTACTTAATTATTGTTGTTTTTATTTCATTTATTTTTTTATGTTTTTTCTTTCTATGGTTTTGGATGCTGCCGTTTACAATAATTTCCTAGGTCTGGGATAAATAAAGTATATTCTATTCCATTCTATGAAGTGTCCAACACGAATTTGCATCATTCGCGCAAATAACCCACTCAATTTGTGTCATTTGTGCCATGCTATTCGTGCGATTCGCGCCGCAGGACATGCACTTGAGTCTAATCGCATCTTCACATCGACTTTACATATAAATCATTTGCACAAAAGATTTTACTTGCAAATTCATCTCGCTATTCGTGCATATTTGGACGCGTGTATGCGCAGAGTTTACTCTTCATTCGTGTAAATAATTCACGTCATTCGGGCGAGTAAACTTGCTCCATTCACGCGTCAAAAACTGTGTCATTTGCGCATCCACCAGGAATTTATGCCTGTTTCCTGCCATTTTCCAGTGTGCTTATTCTTCCTGCAGACGCCTCTGGATCCGGAGCTTCACATCCCTGACCTGCAGAAGTGTACGCGTGTCTAATCGCGTCTTCACATTGACTTGACATGTAAATCATTTGCGTGAATGATTTTACTTGCATCTGGTGTGAACACAACATAAAATTATTGGATATAGGCAGGTTCATACAGGTAATCTACAGTTGGTGAATCAGACTAGGGGCTTCATTGACCAAAAAGCCAAGTCCAGGCTACATCTAATAGGTAAAATGGTGATGGATGTAAAAAAAATTAATAAGAATGATTTTTTTTCGATCATAGCCTTTCAGGCAGTCATTTATGATGTGATTATTGCACATGGTAATATCAAAGAAAATTTTAAAAATTATAATAATAAAATAATAATAAAAAAAAATTATTAGTCAGCACAATAACGTGTGCAAAAAGGAAACAGGTCTGAATTCTTTAAGAAATTACTATATGCAACATAAAACAAATAAAAACTGTGACAAAATATGTGAAACTGACATGTATGATTTTACCTTAGAAGCTTGTGTCCATTTGTGGTAGCCACTTCACCAAGACTGGTCAAGATCCTCTGGTAATGACTGTCACTCTGCTGAGAGACATGCTCCAGAACCTGCCTGAGCTTCTCACAGATACAGAGAGACACAGAGACAGAGAGAGATGTATATATACACACACACACACACCAACTGAAATGTATACAGGAGGCTTCTCATTAAACTTACAAACAAACTGATCATACCATGTTCTCTTTAATATCATCATTCTGTGTCATTTGGATGAGGGTCTGGAACAGTCTGGTATGGTGCTGGATGAGAATTTCACAGGTCTCCCCATATCCACCCTAAACAAAAATACACAAACAGGAAGTGCACTTACACAACAAAACACAGAGGAAAATGTAAAATGAATGAAAGCCTAACTTGTGTTGCAATACTCACCTGCACACAGAGATCCAGAGGAGTGATTCCATTCTTGTCAGCAAGATATTTGGCACCTCGAGATAGCAGGATCTGTGCTGTGTCTCTTTGACCATGACTAAAGAATAACACAAGACAAGTTTAAGTTCCACTTCAGTAACATGCAAAGCTGAAGCTGAGCATGGGTATTTATGAAAATTTCAGTTCTTAATATTCTGTTATTCAGAAACATGTGAATTGGGAACTGCGAAAAAGCCTTGCTCTCATTTATAAAATTAAAAGAAGTACATCAGTAAATCTTTAATCTCTATAACTTAAGTTAAAGTGCAAAAAAGCTGAGATCACACTCTAAATCCCGAGCTTTATTATTACTGATGGCATCACCTGCAGGCAAAGTAAAGAGGTGTGGCTCCAGAGACATTTGGCCGGTTGATATCAGCTCCACTGTCGAGAAGACACAACACTGTCTGAGGAGACACATCATATACTTACATTACAAACTGGGCAAGTACATATGATTATATGATAAATACAAAACACAGAACAACAATTCCCAACAATGGAATATTTCTTTGCATTCCTTTGCAGTAATATTTGCATTCCTACCGAATACTTTTTCTTTTTAATATTTGCAGAGGAGGATGAAGTGCTGATGGCCAATTCATGCTTTCCTCACATGCAAAAGTATGCGTAACATAAGTTTTGTCATGGGGTTCAGAGGATCTCTGTTTGTACATGCTTTCATAGACTGAACCCAAACACAGTAGGAAGTCCTCATTTCTCCAGAAGTGCTATGCTATGTTTATGTTTCAGGAATAATCACCAAAACATTGCTACAGTGTCAGCTGCCGATTCCTTAGGTGTTTTTCTGTGTTTGATATGAAGGAAATCAAATGGTCAATGGGCTGTCTATTGACACATGAACAGAGTCACTTCCACAACCTGCTTTTTGGCCAGTGTACAAAGCTGCATCAACCATGAATTGGCCGTAACAGTAGTTACCCTAACTTACTGTGAGCACAAGATAGATGCACCCTATGCGGTGACGAGCTAATGCTATGTAAGCTAACCACAAGACAGCATGACTGCTACATTGTGACAAATTATTTATCAAATGAGAGTAACACCAACTAAATGCAGAGTTTCTACAGATGCAGTGAAATAACCAAATGTGTTGACTGAAGGATTGATCAAGCCAGAGGCCAAAATTTGTTGCAATGCTTTGCAGTTATAGCAGGACTAAAAATTGCATAGATATTTTGTAATTGCTTTACTGTTTTGTGTCCATTCTGACAGGCTACATGTAAGGCAGTCTGCCCCATGGCATCTTCCACATCAACATTGGACACATGCTGGACCAGATCATGAAGAAGCTCTGTTCGCCCATTTACTGCTAACCAGTGGATCTGCAGGAGGGAAAAATGTGAACAGTCACCATCCTGACTACACAAGTGAATTAACCACTAGTCACATAGGTAGCATACCGATGATGATTATAACAATCTAAGAAGTATCGTACAACATGAAGCCCAGAAAGAGAATTAAGAGTCAACTCACAGCAGTCAGTCCTTCATTGTTGCAGATATTGACATCAGCATTATATTCCAGTAGTTTGCCCATACACTTTTTCTGTCTGAGATAACAGTGATGGAAAGGGTTTAGTATCAGTGTCATTACACATACAGTTACTCTGTTTCATGTCATTTCACACAATGACTCAGTCATGACTATGTTGACAGTCCATTGACTACAAGTAACAACATTCAGAAAAAAAGTATAAAAAGCAGGCATTCAAAGATTGATCAACTTACATTCTCACCAAAGCAAACAGTTTGATGAGTTACATTTGGTTTCAGCTGTAGGTTTCAATGAGACAGACAGTCTGGGCTATTGAGGCCACTCAGCTCAGTTCTCATGTTGTGTCTATTGTTTGTCTTTATTATATACGTTATAAACTTTAATCTGCACCATAGTAACTAGTACAAAATGGAAATGGCTGACAGTAACATCTTATGCCATATTTCTCAAACAAGCCGATCAGCTGATGTTGAGTATGTCTGGTAGTATTCTTGTATTAGATGGATGTAATCTTGTCTTCTGGACAGTTTAACTGTTATGCTGTGACTTATAATGCTTCTCTGAGCAGAGCCAAGCTTGCTGTGCTTCTTTCTGGCCTGGCTGCTGATTCCTGGCAGATCTCAGAATACAGAGTGAGGAATCATAGCTGAGGGTTGTCTGAAATGCAACATATAACCAGAATTAACAAAAAAAGATTTTAACCCACAATTACCACTGGTTGTATTTCTAAAAGGGAGTTGAAGGCAACCTGAGGCATTTTTTGAAACTCAAATAGAGGTATGGAGCAGTTTTTATAAGTGGATTGTATTTTTGTTTGTCTTGTATACACGTACATGAAATGCAACAAAATGTAAGAAAGACAAACTGCAAGATTATAAATACATAGGATTTAAAATCAGTTTAAAAAACAGTGTTGCACTGATTATTGAGGTAGAAAATGCTGGTATGTATGTATTCTCATACCCATTCCTAGCAGCAAGGTGCAGAGGGGTACAGCCTGAGATGTCTTGGTAGTTTGGGTTGGCTCCTCTCTTCAGCAGCAGAACCAGACACTCCACCGACCCACAGCTGTACAAAGACCACACAGTACCACTTAGCGCCTGAGCAGCAGACACCAGTACATAAGCACACAAACTCAGTCTTACTGAATATGTGACAAAGCAGTGATGTCAATAACAAGATATATATATACATACATGTAAAATAATCATAATGCATTCGTTTTATATAGTGCTTTTTAAGAAACTCAAAGACGCTGTGCACAAAAAAACTCCAACAAAACAAAAAACAGGACAATAAAGTGTCAAGCGGGTCAAAATGGCGGCATAGGTAGTGGACACGTTACAGCTCACTCTGCTCCATTGAATTTATAAATCGCTCTAATTGATGGTTATACCACTGGAACTTCTAGACAAGTCATCCTACAAGTTATCTTACAGTTGTTCTGGGTTTGTACGTTATATTTATTTCGTTCACAACTTCGGAATGAGTACCAGAAAGGGCTTGAGGCGAGGAGATGAAGGCACGCCGGCGGGCACAACTGCGGACAACATTACGCAATCACAGCCTGTTGAGGGCACTCCACCTGCCTGGTTTCTTTCGGAGATGGATAAGGGCTTTTCCATGATATACGACATGGTCAAGGACCGCTTGAGTAAAATAAACAAGGCAGTGGAGAAAATACATAGCGAGCACTCAGCCATCAACAAAAAGTTGGCGGACCTCTAAACAAACGGAATACGAAGCAACCGCTGTGGATCTACGTACAGATATCGCCAACTCCAAGAAAGAGACGAAGGCCGCAATTGAAGAGCTCCGAGGAAAACTTGATGACATGGAAAAGTCTCTTGAAACTGAAAGGTGCCACCGTACCCTGCAACCCCGTCCAGCTGAGCATGATAGACCACGGGCGCTGGTCATTCGTCTGCGGTGTGCAGTGATACGGAGAAGATCCTCACGGCTGCCCGACACCAAAAAAAGTTGGAATACGGCAATTCTTCCATCATGATCTTCAGAGATATGTCAGAGATATGTTCACAGCGCTGTACAAATGGCGGAAAGCATTCACCAACCTGAAGAAATTACTGTAGGGACGTGACATAAAATGTAGCCTGCTCTACCCGGCAACATTGCGGATCCATTTGCCTGGAGGACGTCGATCCTTTACCTCTCCAAATTCAGCTGACATATCTGCGACAATATCATCCTGAATATTTTTGAGTTCGAGTCAGCATAGCAACAGACCCCTGGGCCCACGTTTCGCAACACCGGGACAGGGGCCGTCCGACTGACAGGTGCCGGCAAAGACATGCACAGGATCTTCTGTTTGGACAGACTATTATCATCCTACAGTGGACTACTCTTTGAATTTGGACACACTAATCCCTTAAGGTATGACCTTCTAAATATATTTTTTTTTTTAAAAAGAAAAAAGGAAAGAAAGAAGAAGAAGACCAAAGAGGGGTTCCTGCTGGACAATCTACAAATAATATTTTACTTTGGTATCGGCTATCAACTGTCTGGAAAACTGGGCAGCTGGGCCCTAACTGACTATAGAATATGAGGGATTTTTTTTCTCTCTTTCTCCCTCTCCTTTCTTTTTCTTTTCTCTCCCTTCTCCAGTGGTAAACTACTGTTTTTATACCCTTTGCAACTGGACACTTATATAGTGGGTAAAGATGTAAAGAAATTTGTTTCAACTATGTACAAAATGTTATTGAAGTTTTCTGTTTGTGGCCAAGTAGGGGCCAAGCTTAAATGGGAGCAAGACCTTGGAGTTGAATTTAAGGATGAACAATGGAAAGCAATCTGTCAAAAGAGTCAGACATTTTCTTTAACAGTTGTCATAGACTGCAACAATTTAGTTTGATTCATCGAGTATACTATACACCACAGCGCTTAAAAAAAATGAACCCAGACCTCTCGGCTTCATGCCCTCACTGCAAAGTGGAAACTGCGTCTCTTATCCTTATTTTTTGGTCATGCTCCCATTTGGATGAGTTTTGGAAAATTGTAACAAGTACCATTGAAAAAGTTATTGGTTCTGAGTTTGCTTTAAACCCAAGATTTGGACTACTTGGAGATGAGTCAATATTACCTTTATACTCTGAGAATAATATCAGATTTGCTGAAATGGCCTTGATAGCTGCTATTATGTGTATTGCATTGAAATGGAAAAGTGTTGCACCCTCATGCTTCAACATGTGGCTGAATGAAATCTCGTCTTATATCCCACCGGAAAAAATTATGTACAATTTGAAGAAGAACCCAAAAGCCTTTTTCAAGGTATGGGGCAATTTTCTTTCTTTTAATGAGGCGGACTGAACCCTTTTTTTTCTTCTTCTTCTTTCTTTTTTCTTTGTATTTACTTGTTTATTTTTCATTTGTCTGCTGATCTCTGTATGTATGTATACAGTGTACATATACATATATATATGTGTGTGTGTGTGTGCAGGTGCATATACATGCAGATGTTTGTGTAGATGTGTGTGTAGTTTAGTTGTTTATCTTGTTAAGTACACCCTTCCTGTTGATATGTGACAGGGTTGGGATGGCATTTTTGTCTTGAAATTCTACGTAAACATCCCTGAATTTATAAATAAATAAAAATATACAGGGAAAAAAAATAAAGTGTTTAGGTGGGATGGTATATATGTACACCTCTTACGGTCATTGTCTTGTTGGAACACCCTACTGCCTCCAAGTCCAAACCCAACTGTTGATTTTAGGTTTTCTTAAAGAATGTGAAGGTAACCCTCCTTCTTCATTATACCATTTACTTTGTGTAACGCACCAATTCTAATGGCATCAAAACAGCCCCAGGGGTTAAAGCGGTTGCAAGGTGGCTCGGGGGTTAGCACCATCACCTTGCAGCTAGGAGATCCCCCATTTCGCATTCCAGCTAGGCAAATTTTTAGTGCCTTCTGTGTGGAGTTTGCGTGTCCTCTCCGTGCAGCTTGGGTTCTCTCCGGGTTCTCCGGCTTCCTCCCACACAGTCCAAAAACATGCTAAGGTTAACTGCTGATTCTAAATTGTCTGTAGGTGTAAATGTGAGTGTGCTTGGTTGTCTGTCTCTAAGTGTAGCCCTGTGATAGACTGGCGACCTGTCTAGGGTGTCCCCTGCCTTCGCCCTAAGTCAGCTGGGATAGGCTCCAGCCCCCCCGCGACCCTAGTGAGGATTAAGCGGTGTATAGATAATGGATGGGGTTAAAGGTCTTACCTTCTCTCCACTTAACATATTGCCGGTCATTGTGGCCAAATTGCATTTTTTTCCCACGTCAACACAGAACTTCCATCCATAAGGCTTTTTCTTTGTCCACATGATTAGTAGCAAACTTCAGTCAAGTCTAAGGTGCTGCTTCTAGAAGATGGGCTTCCTTCTTGCATGGCAGCCTCTCAGCCCATGGCCATGTAAAGCATGCTTGACTATGGCACTAATACTTGTGTTTCAGGAGCTTCTAATTCATTGCAGACCTACTTTTAGTGATTCTTGGTTGACCATCCTAAGCTACTGCCTCTCAGCAGCAGGCAATAGCGTGCGTTATATTTCTGACTGTGGCAGGGACACAACTGTGCTATGCACTTTAAAATGATAAAAGACTGTTTGCTCAGTTAAGAAACTACTTAACAGGCATCTGAAACAGTGAATATGACATAGAACTCTTCCTTTCATTGTACTTGTGGTCCAAATTCATTATGTATTGTGCAGTGCAAATGATTTAAAAATACGTAATAGTCAATTTATGACTAAATGTGACAATTAATTGAGATACTGATAGGTATCTCAAGGAACTGCCGCACTAGGGACTGGCGTTAGGTGATAACGCCAATCCCTACTGCTTTTATGAAAAAGAAAAACAGAGTAAGTATTGTTATAAAATTACTTGGCAGCAATGTGCAGCAGACTTCTCTTGACCCGTCCGAAGGCGTAGTTTACATCAAACTTGGAGTTGAGCAGTAACTCTGACACTGACCTTTTAGAGACAGGATGGAAAGTGGAAAATCATTTCTTCTGGAGAGAACAATATCATGCCTCTGCAGTAGTAAAGTTGTGCACATAAAAGTAAAAACAAAACAAGTCTTGTTTCTACCTGCCAAAGTAGGTAAATATGCCATAATAAATGTATTTTAAAATGTATCTGACAACAGCACTATAGTAACATACTGTACACAGCCCATGTTGTACGGACAGGATGGATGCTTACCTATGCTGGTCAGCCATGACCATAGGCATCAGTGTGTACACAGCAGTTTCATTATCTATGGAGAGAAAAACAGGTAAGCAATAAAAGTACAACTTGATCCATTTACTAACTGATGGTTACTTCACTTCCGAATGTGTATGTACAGCTTTGGAAATTATTATCATTAGATCATCTGTTCAAAACATCTATACAACAAAAACTACCTGTTAACAGCCTTGTTTATTGGGAAACTGTACTATTTGTCAATGAACAGAAACTGAATGATACTGGTCAAGACAGATAAATGGACAAATAATCTATTTACTGCTTTAATATGAAGTGTTTTTGATTGAGCATCTGTGGAATCACACGCTAGAGGTTCCGATCAAAGTTTTCTTCTGCCGTGAAAATGATCTCTTGTTCAGTAGATTTATCAGTTTGACATGTTGTACTCCTATTCAGTAATGTAAGGTGAAAGGCAGTAATGTTTTCTGGCCGTTCTCCAAAGTGAACAGACTCCTCAACTAAGTCATCTACAAATTACACGAAGAAGTGGAAACAAACAGCTGAAACAAACTACAAACATCAGCCACTGACATTTGAAAAAAGGTAAGCAAACATTAATAGAACACTACTATTCTAAAACAGGTGATTTTGATATAATGTTAGCATTACTTTCAGTCAGATAGCTTTCATGTTGCTGTCAGAATGAATGACTTAGTTCCAGAATTAATGATGTATGTATGTTTCTAAATCTCTGACATCAACCCCTAGATGTTTGCATAAGAAATCCTTTAGATGTTTTCACAAGTAGCTAACAGGACTTGAGTGGTCAGCAAATTATCTACTGAAAACACTGCTGCTCTTCTTGGAAAGAGCAGTTGCGGTAATCCTAATGATAGGTGAGCATCACACACTTTTACATTAACCTTACCATAGACCAGAATAACACTTTAACCATGGTAACTGTACACAAAGATGGAGACTGCTGTAATCTCATAGTGTTCAGAAGATATGACAATTAGAAATGCAAAAAATAGATTAAAATGTCACTGAAATACTTTGAAGTTTTGTTAACAAAATCTTATAAAATCAAGTAACAAAATTTTGCAAAAACTAATTTTTGCAAAGACTTACACTAAATCAAAACCAGGTGCCAAAACTAACACTGGTTCTCTCGTATCCAAGAGTGGGGAATTTAACGCTGTCTTTAATGTAGTCAATTCAGGCAGTGCTCTGCCCAGTCTCCCTAATCTTTAAGTCTTGGGTGATTGCTCTGTTGACCAGTAGCTGGTGCTTAAGCCTTCTACTGTTGTTTCAATTGTTCTTCTGAGCTTTGCTCAAGCGCTGATTCATGTGCCTGCTCAGCTTAGCCTCCATGTGGTACTTCACACTACTGATGTAGTTTGAAAGTCTTGTACACCATTGGCAATTTTTAGTGGAAGTGGAAGTGTCCATGACCCAGACCATTCCAGCTCATCAGCAAAACAAAAGAGGTCATGGTATGATGTGAGCATGTATGGCTGCTTTTGTTCAATGTTACTGAGGTGTCTCCAGTGAATTTCTCACCCTCCAACTAGAGAAAACTGGAGACTACAACACAGACAAAGTCTGTTGTGTGTTGTCTCCAGTTTCTACATACATCATTAATTCTGGAACTAAGTCATTCATTCTGACAGCAACATGAAAGCTATCTGACTGAAAGCAGTGCTAACATTCAATTGAAATCACCTGTCTTCAACTCCCTGTTCTGATCCCTGGGAGATCCTTGTGAGCTTTCTGGCCACACCAACCAGAACCAGCAGTCAGAAAATTGGTTTATGTGCTGCTGTGTCAAACTCAACGGGGCTGCAAAGCAGAACAAGGATGCCATAAAGTCCACCTGCTATGAGATAGCCAACAACTATTGCCAGTTGCATTCCAAGAAAGTGGGGATGGAATCCATCCATGTGATGAGAGACTCACTACAGATACAGCTGAATGTTACAGAGCACCACCACAACAGCAACAGGGACACGCTTGGGTGAGCTAATAAGCAGCAACTGAACTGTCAGAAATACCATCTGTCATGGCAGGGTCAAAAGGAACCAACACTTTTGGTGAAAACTTCCAGATTAAAATCAGAATGAAAACAAGGAAGCAGCAAGTTCAAGCAGGGGTGGTTTGAAACAGTGCTTGTTAAAAAAAATAAAAAATAAATAAATGAGAAAAAAAAAACGACACTTTTGTTCGAACTGCGTGTCTATTACATTTAATAATGGATTACTAACCTGTCTTATTGCATGTTGCAATAAACAGAAAAAGCAATAAAAACACAAAAAATAAGCAGTAAAAACAGTGACCCCCACTGGCCAAATTTAAAAAGATATAATGTATCCTTGGAGATTCAGTAGAAAGCTATTGGACTTCTCTTTTTCGAGCTTGTAGATGGTTCATCTTTTTTTTTTTTTTTGAGCTTTTTACTTTCAAGTATCTCGTGTATGTCAATGCATGAACATGTCTAACAAGAAAAACAACACTATCCAAATATGTATTTGGTCATGGCAATATTATGCTGACATCATCCTAATGAACTTAATGCAGTGATGATTCTCAAAGAAATTTCACAAAACTACATGACAAGCTCCTCCAAACCCAGGTTTATGCCTACAAGTGGAGTCTGACAATGACAAATATATCCACAATAAGAAGTATTACCATTAGGCTATGTACCAATATTTTTGTTTCTGTGGTACAGCTTGCTATACCTGCTTAAAACTTCTGTGGTAAATTTATTCTAATGATCACTGTGGAAACTTTGTGATAGAATCAAAATAGATCAAAAGTGGTGAAGAAATGGGTATATCAGGCTAGAATGAAGGTTTTAGACTGGCATTCCAAAAGTCCTGGCTTAAAACCAATAAAGAATCTGAGGACTATGGTGAAGAAACAATTCTATATCAAAAAGCTAGCAAATGTACTTTAACTATAAGAATTTGGTCAAGAGGAGTGGTCACAGATACAACCAGAAGCATGCCAGAAGCTTGTGAACAGCTACCAAAAGCACCTAGTTGAGGTGAAATTGGCCAAGGGGCATCTAAGCACACGTTAGCATTGCTCCATATACATTTTTTAACCCAACAGATTTTGCCATATATCCAGAATAGCTAGAAAACAAAGAACTATAATGCATGGTTTGATTTTTGTGACAAAGACACATGGATTTCAATGATTCTATCAAATTGAGAGTTGTAGGAGTCATTGAAAAGTGTATGTAAACTTTTGTTCATGACTGTATATAAATTCATTAACTATAATGGTTAAGGTAAAAGGTCACTGTGTTTCTTAAGCCTACAAAGTGGTGTCTGAAAATGAAAAATGTGCCCATAATAATACATTTATTTTTCTTATATTTGGAGAACCATTTTGAAACTCCAGAACTTTGCTCTACTTCAATTCGGCTAGCTACCAAACATATAGTTGTTTTTGTGGTACAACTTTTCATACCTGTTTAGTTATTTCAAGTGAAGCAAAACTGTGTCAAGCAAACAGTGAATGTTACCTCATATTTTTTTGACTCAGTTAACCCATCATTTTGTGGAGTTTTCTTATTATTATTTTCAGTTTTAGTCAGAGTCATTAGTCCAGATTTTTAAACACCCCAGGTTTAGGGACTTATTTTTCCAAAATTTCTTGCTGGTACACATGCACCTAGACCAGATGCATGCATGTTGAGCATCTAGATATTCCCTGTGTCCTTTCTCCAGGTAGTATGTTTTTAACTTTGACAGCTCAGTTGGCTCTTTAAAATTGGAAATGACCATGTTTTGAAAGTTCAACTGACTAAAGTGTTCCTAATTGCACTGTGTTTTACATTGTTGGAGGAAGTAATTCTGTCTTAACCTCACTCGTCAAACAGTGACCATTAATTATGCTTTCGTTTGGTTGCAATGAATTTCTGCGTTTTCCTTTTGAAATTGGTAATTTGTAGTCTCTATAGATTAGCATTTATTCTTGTCGTTTACATCTAGTAGCAAAGCCACATTCTGCTAATACAAAATCTTTTTTAGGGTCCAATAACATTCTCAGCTACTTTGGTTTTCAATTAATTTTTGTTTACTCTTTCCTTTGTTGAGGACACTGTATATGATGGCTCTGATGTTGCATACTGTATGTACATCAGTTAATTGATATCTATAAGAATCAGGTTACCGTAATTGCATAAACCTGTACCGGCATATTTGTTCCTATATTCCCAGCGCCTGGTGTCACTGCAGTCAGGTAACTTTAGAAGACATTCGCTTATCGTACTGCAGACTACAAACACACTACAAAAAAACATATTTACACCTAGACGACACAGCAGTAACACGATTATTTTTGGATTCTTTAAAAACACCTAGCGTGAGTCCCCGCACTGTAAAGTCAGGCTGAATAACAAAACACTGAAACTGCCTCAGATTGCCTGCGCCTGTAGGCTCTACGGAAAAGCTGAGTCACTAAACTGAACACAAAGTGTTTCTTATTTACTAATGTAACACATGGCGGTGGCCTTACAAAACATCTCTAAACGTAACAGAGGCCGCAGCGGATTGCTGTGCCACAGTTTACCACGTGAGCAAAACTGTTTAAACGCGTGTAAGCTCACGCTGTTATAACGAATGCCTTTAAGATCCTGCATCGTTACCTTCCGGGAGTTCCACGGTCCTGGCCCGGCGGAGGGAACGGGTCAGCCGGTTGAGCTGTACGTTAAGCTGCTCCATCGCCCGTTCCATCATAGGTGAAGGGTCCACACGGATAAGGAACAAAGCCTTGTCGTCTCGTTTATTTATTCCTTGTGGGGTTGTGTCGTTCCTGGGCGTTGTCCATCGGTGTTAGCTCACGAGAAACCGTTTCCTGGCAGACAAGCCGATTCATACACTGTTGTTGCTCTGCTTCCACTACAGAGTGTAAGAATGATGTCGCGCCACCGTGACGTCAGTCGTTGATTTCTAAAGTGATGCGTTTGCTACTTCCTGGTCGCCATCTTGGATTTTTTCAAAGCAAGAAAATAGTTTGAAGAAGAACAGCAGCCGATCGACTGTCATAATGACATATAAAATGCACTTCGCTTCGAGAAAAGTATGCTCATTAAAATTGTCCATGTATTTACAATTATTTAGTTTCAAGTTGGGCAAATCCGATAGAGGAATGCCTTATTTCATTCTTTTCCAACTAATTTTTGGTCTCACACCTGTCTGAGTAAACGCACCCAAGGCTGGCCTGTATGTTAGCCTGTGAGGTGTTTTGGGAGCATTGGTAAACAACGACTAACAATAAGCAGATGATCAGCAAGTAAAGAACTACGTAGTTTATAAGAATGACAGGAGAATAAGAGTGTTGCCAAAATGTATACATTTTCAAATTAAAATATTTTACAATTATCAAGTCTGGAATCTCTGACAATCTTTACATTAAAACTATTTTTTGCAAACCTTTTGCAAGGGTTTGGGTCTGCTTTGCTTCTACAGGACCTGGACGACTTCTCACAATTGATGGAGCCATGGATTCTGCTCTCTATCAGATAATCATCCTGGAGAATATCCGCCACAGTTCATGACCTGAAGCTGAAGCATTAATGGGTTATGCAGCATGACAATGACCAAGAGCACATGAGCAAGTCCACATCTGAATGGCTCAAAAAGAACCACATTAAGGTTTTGGAATGACAGAGTCAAAGTCCGGACTTCATCCCAGCTGAGATTCTGTGGCAAGACCAAAAAAGGGCAGTTAATGCTTGAAGACAATGTAATGTGGCCAAATTAAAACTATTCAGAAACAAGTGGGACCAAATTCCTCCAAATTCCATGTAAAAGACTCATCACAAGCAAGCAAACTTTTAACTGCAGTTGTTGCCAAGGATTGCCTAACAAATTATTAGGTTTAGGGGAACAGTTACTTTTTCAAAGGGGTGATATAGATTTTCAATAAAACATTATTTAAAAACTGTATTTTGTTTTTGTTTTGTGGGTTATCTCTGTCTAATACTAAATAAACAGAAATATTAGTTTGATGATCTGGAACATTTAAATGTGAGAAATGTGCAAAAATAAATAACATCAGGAAGGGTCAAGTACATTTTCACAGCACTGTATGTGATTGCAGCTGAAGTTAGCCTGTGTAAATAACATTAGACTGTGTGCAACCTCTGATGGTAAAACATTTTCTAACATGATATTATAAATTTGTTCTGTAAATCTCAGGTTCTGTTTCTTAACTTCGTGAGTGTTAACAGTGAAAGTGAGATGCAAAATGGGGTTTGTAAGCATCCTAAATTAATTAACTGTTAGCTGTAACAAAGTTTCCTGTTGATCAATCATAACGGATTGTTAAGGTTATCAGTCTTTTAACTGTTGCTGTCTCAACGTGCTGTTCGTTTATGAGCAGTAAACCATCAACTGAACTGTCTATTTTTGTTTACTACACCACAGCTGGTTCGGCTATGTTTGTTGTATTTTTACCATGTACAGGACAGAGGCCTCCTCCATTTTTGCACACTTACTGGTCTTCTACATCTGATTTTAGACAAATAAAATTGTTTACCAATCAATCTAGACCAAATGGCCCATAACATCAAGAAACTGATATGTGAATCTGTTAAATCATAGTGACTACTTAAGTAATAAATGGAAAGACTTTTATTTATTTTTATTCACCTGAAACATGTATTAACAGTGGTATGTATTTCATGGCAGACTCTCTGGAGTCAGTGCAAAAAAGTATACATATTTTTAAAATAATAATAATCCATCCATCCATTATCTATACAACGCTTCATCCTCACTAGGGTCGCAGGGGGCTGGAGTCTATCCCAGCTGACTTAGGGTGAAGGCAGGGGACACCCTGGACAGGTCACCAGTCTATCACAGGGCTACACCTAGAGACAGACAATCAACCCCCCCCCCCCCCCCCCCCAATGCTATCATGTTCTATAGAATGGGCTGGCAAAGCGAGGCTATGCCTTCACACTCGATCTGTGGTTTGATGTTCAATGGCCTCTACTGTAATGAACCAAGCACTGATGGCATGTTATGACCACAGAGGGGCACTGCACTTCTACAAATAGTGGTACTCCCTACCGTTTAGGTAACAAAAAAAAAACAGAGTGAGCTGACAGATCACATACATTTAATGTGGTACAACAGGGAAATAACAACTGATCCTAAAGCTTTAACAGTTTAAACGGCAAACAGTATTTCAATAAGACAGCTTTCTCCAAATGGTTATTAAACACACAAAGTGCACTAGTTTTTGTTTCATTATCTAAAGAATACAGTGTTAAATAAAAAATTATCTCTGCGTGAGAAATTGTCACAACAAAGATTCTATGATAAAATTCATGGCAAAATATTATGACAATGTGGTGACCAATCCTGTTTTTTTGGTTGCTGTTGTTTTTGTTGTTGTTGTTGTTGTTGTTGTTGCTTTTTTCTTTTACATAAAAACAAACATTTTGCTGAGACTGTTTTCAAAGAACTGTTGCCAAGAAATAGAATTACATTTTACTTTGAGAAAAAAAAAAAAAAAAACTTGTGAAGCTCTCTGGTGGATAAACTATTTAATGGAGACACAGTTTATAAATGATCACAATCATCTTTGACGATTTCTAAATAATTACCATGTCACTTCATCGATCATGGTCTGTCAGGTTGCTAAACAGGTTTACATAACATGCGTATTCTTCCCTTGCCGGCTACACCTCCTCCGCTGAAGTGTTGGGCACATGGTGAGAAGGTGCAGATTCCTCAAAAACGTCATCTTCCATGCCTTCTTCTATAGGCTTCATTTTAGGAGAAGACTTCGTGCCAGGTGATATCTCTAGAAATAAAAATATTGCAATTGAATCAGTTAGGTGTTTTAAGTATGCAAGTGCTCATATGGGCTCAGTAATTGGGAAATATCGTCATCTTAGCTCTCCAATCTACAGAAGCTGCTATATCTCATTAAGGACACAAACCTCACTCACATAGCAACAATTCACATTGTAGGTTATTATCCAATGCGTGTCCACACACACAGACAGACACCCCCAGAGCCCAGCACAGCATGATGGATGAACAGAAACTGCGAAACTGGAAAAAGCTCAGTGAATGTGTTTCCATGATCTCTAACAGTTGCTGCATTAGAAATCGAGCTGCTCTTCTTGAGTAAAAGCATTCTGAAGAGCAACACTTTCAGTGTTTTTAGTCTGTATCCAAGCTACAACAGATACAAATGTTTGGTCGCTTCTGCCCAATGCATGTGATGCTTTCACTCAGTTGGGAAAAGGTTTAACTAATATGGACAAAAGAAGAAGTTAGGATGTCGTTAGGCTTGAACTGCAATTTTTCTACTCCTGGGAGGAGAACAAAGGGAGATGGTAACCCATAGAACATGGGAAAGAAGACATTCCAGAAGAGGCATTAGGGAGTGTGTTGTATGCATATTTCACCCAGAGAGGTGAGAGCTCCAGGATGTTGGACTCTCAGAGGTAATGCAACAGAGTGCTGTCTCCAGCTCTTGATAGGATTGCTCGATCCAGCTGTTTGGACTGAGGATGATATCCAGATAAAAGGCTGACTTTGGTCCCCAGAGCAAAACAGAAGGCTTTCTAGAACTGGGCGATTAACTAAGAACCCCTGTCTTGAACTATATCAGAGGGAAACCATGCAATGAATCACCCGAGAAACCATGATGTCTGCAGTCTTTTCAAGGAGGAGAGTTTGGAAAAAGCAACAAAATATGCAGCCTTGTAAAAACAATCAATAACAGTAAGGACAACTGTGTAACGGTTTGAGGGCAGCAGCCAAGAGATAAAGTACAGAGATATGTGGGGCCAATGGTGGCAGATGAAGAGATCTGGAGTGTTAGAAGGCTGTTTTGGCACAGACAGAGTAAGCTTCAATGAACTCCTAAGTGTCCTTATCCATGGAGAGCCACCAAAGCTGCTGGTGGAGGATGGCTCAAGTTCATATGGTTCCAGGGTCACAGGTCAGATGGGTAAAGTGAGCCCATAAACAGAACAAAAAGAAGGTTAGGTGGGCCGTTACTTGTGTCTGGTTGCTGAAACTGGGCCAGGAAGGAAACCGAGGATACATAGAATTCACATTTGTCTGTCTTGACGTAGAGCTTGTTTTTGAGGAGCTGGTCCAGGACCTAACGAAAATGTCAAGTATGTTCCTCAAAGGTCTGGGAGAAGATCAGGACGTCATCTAGATAAACCAAACAAAACCATTTATCGCTTCACAGAGTGCATTATTAATGAGGTTTTGGAAGACCACAAGGGTTGCCGAGTGGCACAGTTGGTAGCACTGTTGCCTCGCAGCAAGAAGGTTGCCGGTTCGCGTCCCGGTGGGGGCACCGGAATCTTTCTGCGTGGAGTTAGCATGTTCTCCCCGTGCAGCTTGGGTTCTCTCCGGGTTCTCCGGCTTCCTCCACACAGTCCAAAAACATGTTGAGGTTAATTGGTGATTCTAAATTGTTCGTAGGTGTGAATGTGAGTGTGCTTGGTTGTCTGTCTCTAAGTGTAGCCCTGCGATGGACTGGCGACCTGTCCAGGGTGTCCCCTGCCTTCGCCCTAAGTCGGCTGGGATAGACCCCAGCCCCCCCATGACCCTAGTGAGGATTAAGCGGTGTATAGATAATGGATGGATGGATGGATGGATGGATGGATGGATGGAAGGAAGACCACAGGGGCATTAGTAAAACCGAAGGGCATTGTTGACTCACAAGAGACAGAATAAAAAATGAATAGTCAAAAAAAAAAAGCCCCAGAGCCTAAGATTTGCAATTTGTTTCTCCTACGCTCCATAATGTCTGAGTACTACATTTTCAATCAATGTAGTATCAAGTTGGGAACAGAGACCTGGCACTTCTCTCTCACCATAAATATAGGCAGTTTTCCAACCGGATGGAGAGAAAAAGATCAGTTGGTTCAGGCTGGACTGCTGTGGTCTGCAAGAGCAGTCAGAATCCGTTATGAGAGGGCTGGTGTACTGAGTGGATGTTGGAGGTGTTGACGACAGCAGGGGCAGACAGGAAATCCAAAGTGGTGTGTTCAAGAGTGATTTGAGTCGAGTCAGAACAGCTGGAGTGAAGTCAGAAGGAATTTGAGAGTGACAGGGAAGAAGGTGAGACAGAAAACCACTCAGAATATGATGACTGAGTCATTGGTGTGGCAGATAAAGAAGGTTAAGCCAGGTCTTAACGGCGGAGTTTGATGATTAGTGAACCTGGTCCAGCTTTCACTTATCATCAAACTCTTCTCCATTAAGACCTACTGGGCTGTTGTCTTCACTCCTGCAATTAGGACTCATACACACACAGCATTATCACACCCAGAGAGAGGGAGCTGCCAGTTCAGCAGAGGTAGAGACAGAGGGCTTGACATAAATGTGTCATCTCATCAGCAGAAGCTGCCACTGAAACATTGGCAGGATTATCTTCTCAGACTTGACATAGCCTTGGGTTTTTACTGAATGAAAAGTGCCCCATTGAAATAAATGCTGAATAAACTATTTATCTAAATATATGAAGTTGGGAATTCTTGTCTGATATCTTGTTCTTTGCTATGTTACATGTCTGTCTGACTGCTCCTTAATCACACATTCACACTGTTTTTATAGACTGAAGAAAACAGAGCCCAAATTCACTGCCCAGCATGCTTGAACAGTAATTAGATACAAAATCTCATCTTTTTTAAGTAAACACCTGCGCTTCTGTTTAAAATCACGCATCACAGACATTTCCACACTGGTGATACCTTCTATTGTAAACTGCAGAAGCTTTAGTCCTCCTTATTGTCTCAGATCATGATTGAGACGTTTCAGCATTTCAGAATTTTTACTTGTTGTTGCAGTTGAGCTTCCAACCAGCACCTTGCTAATCACTAAGTTGGGAGGGATAGCAGGCTAGGATTGGTTGTGTCCATCTTGCAGTTTGCCATGTCTCCCAGTCAAGCCATATATATAAATGAAATCATGAAATTCTAACCAAACAATTTCTGCTCGACCAGCTCTGATTTGCTTGAAATTTTTATAGCATTAAATATGGCTATTCAAAAAGATAATTGTGAAATTTGAGGATACACATACACTTACCAAAATAAATGATTTTTGTCAAGTACTGACATTTTCTGGACCATATGTAAATTAATAAAAAATAAATAAATAAAAAGTGTCTTGAACATTTATAAGTGACTGAGCACGTATTTCAAGTTGTACCACAAAAAAAATATTGCTAGATTTCCAAATCAAAGTATAACAGATCTCTGGAGTTTCAAAATTGTTCTCAAAATATAGTCAAGATTTTTTAATTTTTTTTAAATACGGACATTAGTTTAATTTTCGTACCCTACTTCTGGAGAAATGGACTGAACTGTGAACGTATCTTTTGAATTCATATAATTATTGGAAGAGATTCTTGAAAGCAAACTCTTAAGCAGTTGCTATAAATTTACATGTATGCCCGCTGTAACTTTGTGCACATAGTCCAGCTTGTGACACTGGTCTTGAAGGCCATGTTTATTCCCAATGGAACAAAGCATTTGAATTGATTTTTAACCTATCAAACAGTTTACACAATGATCTTGAGATGGCTTCAATTTTTTTTCCAAACTCTCCCATAGTCAGAGGCTATTTGACCTACATGTACAATATTTCAGATTTTTTTTTTCTTTTATCAATGCCATTAAAAGAAATAGCAGTAAAAAGTTTAGGCTTTTAGATTTAATAATTCCAGAGATATTGTTGTTCAAACACAGCTTCAAAGTTCTACTGAAAATGGATCAAGGGGAATTTTATTTTTATTTTTTAATTATTTTTAAAAATGTACGTACTTACTATATCAATTTTAAATTTCACAGATACCATTTTAAATATCCATAGTTTAAGTTTCAAGCAAATCAGAAATGGTCAAGCAGAAGACTCCTAATGATTTGACATGGAATGACCTACAGTGGTATCCAAAAGTGTACATACAAAACCATGTATATCAACAGTCCAGTGACTCCTTCAACTCTTAATTTTCTATAATGGAATGATTGAAATACATGCATGTTTGTCACCAAAAACATCATATATTTTTGTTCTTTCATAGGTTTATTACAGGTCCTCTGAAAATATGAAAACATCTGCTGGGTCAAAAATAAACATACAGCAACTTGAATTATCAGTTTTGAGGATATCGAAAATTGTGTTAATCTAATGTTCGTAGTTGCATGACCTCTCTAAGTATATAGTGCATGGTACAGTTGTGTCACTGTCACAATCAGGAAGAAAGCACAAGATGCTGAGAGACAAATTTTCAAATGGTCAAGTGTCAGTCAAGAATAACCAAGAAGCAAGTCTGCAATGAATTAGAAGCTGCTGAAACACAGGCATCAGTGTCCACACTCAAGTGTATTTTACATCACAATGGGGTAGGAGGCTGCCTAACTAAAGTATGTTGCTGATCACATGGACAAAGAAAAGGTTTTCTGGCAGGAATTTCTGTTGATGAAACACAAATTTAGCTATTTGGCCACAATAACCAGCAAGATGTTTGGAGGAGAAAAAGTGAGGCCAAACCTACTACCACCACCTGTCAAGCCCAGTGGTTTTAGTATGACACTGTCAGGCTGTTTCAGTGCCAGTGGAGCTTGTGCTTTACACAAAGTAAATGGAATAATGAAAACGGAGGATTACCTCCACGTTCTTCATGAAAACCTAAACTCAGCGGCCAGAAGGTTGGGTCTTAGATGCAGGTGGGTGTTCAAACACGACAATGAACCAAAACACACATCAAAAGTGGTAAAGAAATGGTCACGTCAGGCTAGAAATAAGGCTTTAGATTGGTCTTCC